GTTCTCCGAGTGGTGGCGACCCATGTTTTTGTTTTAACATGGCACTCAGTCTTCCTTGTCTGATACATTTCGTTTTATTGTCACCCTTGTGCAAAATCAGCGAGAAAATAAAAATTACAAACGAAATACAAACTAACAACAACAACACCAACAAAGACAACATAATGGGGCTACTTTCGATAGGGGCCTCAGATCTGAATGGTTTGTTTTCTTTATCTTGATCAGTCCTGCTTAAGACGGCCACCTGTCTTATACAGCCACTTTTCTCCTTGACAATGGGTGGCCGTCTTACACAGGTTTAACTGTATGCCTTCCAAAAGTTATTTGATAGAAGGTTTTTGAAGCATAAAACAATTCCTCCCCCCCTCCCCCCATCCAACCACAAAACGTGTAACTTTCTTCAAAAGATCAGACTGGTATAAAAGAAAAAAGTTTGAAATGTTCTAGATTTTTGTTGTTTTTTGTAAAGATTTGTTGTTGTTTGAGTACAAATTCTTCAGTTACTGTTCTGTGTAATCCTGATTTCAAGTATGTCACATGACATTGGACAGTCAGATCGGAGATTCTTTAGTAGTTTAAGAATGTGATCTGTAGCGGACTGGTACTTAGTAACATACAGTTTTCTTCCTGACAGTTCCTTTCCTGATGATCCAAAAGTGGAATGGGACTTGTTAAAACTACAACAAGAAATTCAGTCTTTCGTCAGTCAATACAAACCAAGTATTGTAAGTAAAATTTTGCTTTTCCTTACGCATATATTAGTTTTATTACTTTTGAAAAATTAAAGGGAAATAGTACTGCTTACTGCTGGTAGATTAGTCTGGTCTGGCAGCGTGGCTGGTGATGCTGACATTTGTTCAACATATATTCTTTGTGTATATTTTACCACAGCTGATCGTGTGGTTCTCTGCAAGTTTGGTTCGAAAGCTTTTTTCATGTAATGTTATGAATAATTATTTCTCTTTCAGTTGAAATGATTTGGCAAGGCAATAGAGAAGTTTATTGAAATGTACTTTCCATGCACTACTTTTTTAAAATTGCTTTTTGTGTTAAGGTTCATATGGGTAAATAAAGTAAATATGTACATATGTGCTATCTATCATAAGTGCCTTTCTCACGCTGGCAACAGACAAACTCTTTCCTTATTTCTCTATCCTGGGCTAGCCTCTTAACTCACTCAACCCTAGGCCTCAGAGATAGAAAAAACACAGAGGGGATAGGTCTCGTTTTGGATCGACTACGACCCCATCAGCTGATTCTACACGAAAGTTGAAAAAACAACTAAATGCACACCGATGTCGCCTGTATTGGTGTTAGAGAAAAATCGCCATCACTGCAAGACCACACAACAGTTATCTCGGAGATCCTGGCACTCGCACAAATTCTGACAAGGAGTCACAACGGCAGCAGAATGAAACAGAGAGTACAGATGTCCTTTTGAAGAGAGCACATGCAGCTCTATCCCCCTTCCGTTCTGGAGCTGCACTAAATTTTACTATGTCGCAGCTAAGGGTATCGAACCTTCCTGCCCGCTCAAGACGATGGACTGACAATGACAAAAGTCTTGCACTGAGCATCTACCACACGTCAAAGAAGTGCTACTCCCTCTTGCAGCAATTATACAAACTACCAAGCCCCAGAACTCTCTTCTGCAACTCAATGAAGAATTTGAAGATTGCACCTGGATTTCCACAAAGCATCCTTGATATGTTCTGCATTAAAGTTGGTGCAATGAGAGATTCCGATAGGATTTGTCTTGGTCTTCGATGTTATTTGTCTCAAAACAAAAACTCACTACATCCCGACGGATAACTTGGTGGATGGTAATGAAGACCATGGGCTTTCAAAAAGAACCCAGAATAAAGCCAACTATGCTCTTGTGTTCATGGCCAGGGGACAGGTGTTTAAATGGAAGCAACCATTTGCCTATGTGTTGTCAACTGGCGCTATCAAAACCGAGATGCTCATAGTCCTTGCCTTGTCCATGAAGGCATTCAACATTTGACAGATGTTAGACTCTTGGTGAAGGCAATCATCTGTGACCAAGGATCTTGCAACAGAGCATTGTTTTCACATCTTGGTATTACACCCACAAGACCATATTTTCATATTGAAAAAACAAATAAAGAAGAAGGACCAAAGATCTACACGTTTTTCGACCCGCCACATCTTATAAAGAGTGTGAGAAACAACTTCAAGACTCACAGATTTGTTGTTGGGGGCCAGGTCATTTTGTGGAATCACATCCACCTCTTCTATGAAAAGTTGTGCCAGTGTCAATGAGGATGACAAGAAAGCTCACCCCAAAGCATTTGGACCTTCCCAACTTTGCCAGACTTAAAGTAAATCTGGCAGAACAGGTCATAAGCCGCACAGTTGCTGCAGGGATGGCTAGCATGGTGACCCTTAACCTCATTCCAGCTGAGGCAATGCACACTGCAATGTTCATTGAAAAGTTCGATGAGCTGTTCAACGCTTTCTACAGTAGAGCTGTCAAGAGTAAAAACAAGATGGGCCATGGGATCACCACATCCAGCAACCATGTGGATTTTTTGGAAGAAATGTACACATGGATAGAATCCATCAAGTGTAGAAACAATTCCGGCACTGTACCATGTTTGACCAGATGGTTGCTTGCCATTCGTTGCCTTATCCAACTCTGGCCCGACTTGAGAGACGAGCACCATTTTCGCTTTCTCCTCACTTCTCGTCTAAACCAGGACTGCATAGAAAACCTTTTTTCAGTGGTAAGAGGGGCTAAGGGAGGGAATAGGTGCAATCCCAGCCCAGCTGATTTTAAGGTCACCTTGCGGCAGACAATGGTCGATGCATTGGTAGTGAAATTAGACTAGTCAAATTATAAAAAGGATCTTGATAAATTTCTGTTCAGCCAAACAAATGTGACTTTGCTTGGAAGCAACAAGCATATTGAATCAAGACTAAAGCAGGATGTACCAAGAAGCCTTCAGCTAATCGTCTCGGCAACACCTCCAGTTGTGCCCCCAAGTCTCAGTCTCACTGAGGATAATGTCATTCATTATGTAGCTGGATACATTGTGTCAAAACTTTCCCCAAGGATCTGTGACTCATGTGTTACCAAAATCTCAGGAACCATAGATGCAACTGACCAACGTACGACATTCTTGACATTAAAAAACGTTGAAGTCTGTCATCAAGGACTTTCGGCTGCTAGCAATCTGTTGTTCACTGCATGTCAAGAGATGGAGGTTATTTTCAGGGAGCAAGCACCAAAGTCAATCCACGTTGTGATAATTGGCAATCTGCTGATTCAGCACATGGTGAAAGCCCAACATTTCGCACAATTAATGTGCAAAGAAGGAAAATGTAACCTTTCACTCAAAATCCTTTGCCTGTTTGCAAATATCAGACTACACCACCACATTAAGTGCATGAACCAGGAACTGAAATGCAACAAAGCTGCAGCCAAAAAGGCGTCAATTTTCCAGTACCAATAGATTAGCACAAGCAGGGAAGTCAACACAAGAAGAGAAGCAACACATGGGTAAGTTCCCCCAAAGCTGTGGTCTCTCTCTCTCTCTTTCTCTCTCTCTCTCTCTCTCTCTCTCTCTCTCTCTCTCCCTCTCTCTCTCTCTCTCTCTCTCTCTCTCACACACACACACACACACACACACACACACACACATACACTCACACACACACACACACATACACACACACTCTCTCTCTCTCTCTCTCTCTCTCTCATATTTCTATCTCTCCTCCCCCACCACTTTTCTCTTTACATCGCTCTGGCATCATATTATCATTCATTAAAAATGTCATTCATTCATTCATGTATTCTTCCTTCTTCTCACCCTTTCATTCTCATTCCATTCTAATAATCATCCTTCAACCCTTCACTCATTAAATCGTCATGCTTTGTCTCATATAAAAAATTCAATATTGTTTAGTAAATATGTATTAGGGTAGGCTACGTTACAAAAAGTATATGTGTACTGGTAGACCAAAAAGGCCCTTATAATGCACTGTAGTTAACTGCGCAGATCTATCAATAGTAACAGCTTATCGCGCTTTTACGTTTTGGCTAGCGTGCGGTCGTTTGTGCCGGGGCAGCCGAGCACAGTTGTCATGGAGGACGTCAGAGCCCGCGCAGTCTTGTTTCCCCCCTCGGTAGTTCTATCTCTCAGTCCTAGGCCTACACTCCGGATTGTCTGCTCTCCCTAGAGATTTTTACCTCGTTTTGAAAAATTGAAAAAAATACTAAATTTTACATATCCTACCCAAATTTGGTACACATTTTATTCAATCCTTTATTTGTGTGTATAGACAATTTGAAGGCGAAATATTTCATAGTTTTTATGCAATCTTTTGGTCATAGTCTGTTTTAAACGAAAAATGTTTACTCTTCCAATTACTGAATTAGGCTATGGTCTGCTTCAAACAAAAGTAGTGTTTTCGGTCTCGAGAGCGAAAATTTCCACACCGATACTGTTGGTGTTAGGGTTGGAGCGTTGTGCATGCTACTGATATTATTGGCGTTACGGCTGGATGAGTTAATATTCCATGTCTTCCCACTTTTCTGTACATCATTCTCTGTGACTCTCCTCCATGCTCCATGTGGCTTTCCCCTTGATCGCTTACCCTGGGGATTCCAATCAGTTTCTTTATTATAATATGCAGCTGCTCACTTCCAGTGAATATGTCCAATCCATCACCACCGTCTTTTTCCCACTTCATCTCTGACTGGGCTCTTGTCTTGTTCTCCTTAATACCTCCTTTTTGATGACCCTATCTGTCCATCTAATCCTGAGTAACTTTCTTAGGCACTTCTTCAAATCCCATTTAAAGATATGAAAGCATCCTGTGCATACATATTTCTTTACATACTTTTTCCACAGCTGTTCATGTGATTCTCTGTGAATTTGGTTAAAAAGCTTTTCATATTGATGACAGAACTCTTAACTCTCACTTTCACTTGAAATGTTTTGGCAAAGCAATAGAGATAAGTTTATTGAAATTTATTGGCCGTTAAGTAGATGTCCTTTTCTCTCCTGTAGATCCTGACGTTTGACCATGGGGGTGTGAGCGGCCACCCCAACCACAAAGCAATGTCACAAGTCGTGAGGTAAAATGACAACATAGAATCCAGTTTATAGTAAAGCCTTTATTGTGTAACAGTAGCTTTTAAAATGCTATCTGTACTTGACATCTTTCACTTTCTTTTCTTTATAATATAATTTTAGGTAAACCAATCTGGAATGTTGAGAATTACAACATATTGCAAAAGACTCATACTCATTCCCTTGATTATTAGGTACATATAGATGACATAATTTCCCAAACTTACTTGAAAGAGCTTTTTATGATATCCCTATGTCCTTTTGCTTTTTATAGATGTCTCTTTTTAAGAAAAAATTATGTTAAATCCTATTTAATTAAGTTGAGCCCTAATGTAGACATAGAAATATCCTAACATTGACAAAAGAGAACTGTTGCAGAAAACTTTCAATTTACCAACACTTTATCGAGTTTCTGTTTAATTTCCTCAGGATCATGTATGCTGAAAAAAAGTTTCCAAGTAGGTCAGAATTGTTCCATTATTTGCCATTAGAATTTTTCCTTTTTTTTGTGCAATGATATATACTATATGTGACAGCTGGGATCTCTGTGCTCATGAAATTAGAAAAAAACTTTGGAAGTCGAAGAGCTCTGAAGAAATACAGTCAAACTCCGTAATACTGCTAACCCCTCTTACTGCCAGGCTTTGTCTATGCTTGAAAAGGAACAGCTGTGTTAATCTCCCTTTCTCCCATACTCATTTCTGTGAGCTATCGCTTGTTGGTGATTTACTCCCTCCCCATCCATCCCACCTCCTAACTCTTGTCTTGTGGATTTCAGCTTTAGACAAATTAGCCTCTGATCCGGCAGCAATTTTCAGTTTTAATTAATGTTGTCCTTAGTATAACGTCATAACGTAGATGGGGATGTTTAATAAGAGGACAACATTAAATCCCCATTATACCGCTAACCCCGCTATTCTGCCAACTTCATGTTCATCCCAAGGTTCATGGTATATTACAGGCAGAGTTTGACATACTATTAAGGCCTGGGTTTTTAAGAATGCTGGAAGATTTTTTGTGATTGCCTTTTGGGGTTTTTTTTGCTCTCATTGAGGAACACTAGCTTTTTAGTGAAAGCCTCATTGTTTCTTTGTAATTATTGTGTGACCTTTGGAGGTAGTTATAATTTATCTTATTTTTTCTTTGTTCATGTAGATTTGGTTTTAAAAGAAACGTGTGTTTATGTGTATAATCCTCATAGCCCTAATTTGTACTTGTGTTTGGTGTTGACGCTTTGATTTATACTATAAACAACTGTAGACTGCTTGTGTTGGATTCACTTGAGTTGATCTTCGGTTAAGTTGATCTTTTTCTCCGCTCCTAGCACGTCTTCTTTTTACAGTTCCCAATGGTTAAGTAATAAGTTGAACTTCGGATGAGTTGATCTTTTTTTTTCACTCTCCCAACGATATCAACTCATCCATAGTCAAGTGTAATAAACATCTTACAGGGTAGACATGCAGACCTGCCTATATTTATGAATTTTCCATAATATTAAGAAAATGTGTTACGAAAATACGAATGTACCAGTTCTATGAAAATTACGAAAATCGAGTCAATTTTATGAATATTTAATTCTACTGCTAGAAGAGGCTGAAGAGTGCCTACACCAAGTCATTAGCCCTTCAATGACTTGGAATCAAAAGCCTTCTCCATGTAAATAGTCAACTGTACATAGAAAATGTAAGGTGTCACTCAAATTTTTATTCTTTTGTTTTTTTTGGTAGGCCCCTTCTTCTAAGAAGGAAAATCATACTATTGCTAATTTTAAAGTCAAAGTACTAATTTTTTTGCCATTTCATTACCGAATTCTAAAGTCTCAATTCGGCAGATCTGGACATGGAAAATCTTTAGGGACTGTTGCTACATGACATGGTGAAGCAATCTTCCTATACTGAAACTGTAATGTTTTGTCCATAATGTTGCTGTTAGGAAGTGTTTGAGAAAAATTTATGAAGTGCTAAAACAATGTTGTGCTTCTCACTCTTCCCAACAATACTAGTTGTTTGTTAAAAATAAAGACGGCTAAAGAAGAGTTGTTGCATAGGTTATGTATAGAGATAGAGCAGAGATTTCAACAAAAGAAGAGGGATCGGGGGCATAAGAACACTGTTACATTCTGCTGTCAATTGGCTGTTTATAAGAAAATTGACCCCAAGTTTTTAAGCACCTTCTTGGGTTTGAAATCAAAGCTGTATTCTTTTAAAGCCAGGACTTATTGTTATGTAAGGCTTAGTAAACAAAGTTGAGTCAGTTTGCAGTTCATGTTCTTTTTTTCCTTCAGATTCAACAGTTGTTCTGGAGTTGGATAGTGTTTCCCTGCTCAGGAAGTACATTTCCTTCCTTGATTTGCCCATGAGCTTACACTCAAGTCATTGGACTTTCATTTCCTCGTTGCCAAGTGTCTTTCGGGCTCAGGTAGGTTGTGATTTCGCTACACCAAAATTTCAAAGTTGTACCTGTTCAGTACCTGGTTTTGAGAAATTTGTTGAATTTCCCTGCACTTCAAGCTTTTTCGAATTGGATTCTTTGAATATCGTGGTAACGACTCCGAATAATATTGTGATTTTGATAGGGCAGATAGAACATTTAGTCTTTGACCTCATTGTCTAAGTAACTCAAAATGGCCAAAAATGTCAAACATACCTTTTTTAATCTAAGGTAGCATCTTGTCTCTTTAAAATTGCTTCCTTAGCAATTTATCCACAGTGAAGATCAAGTATCTTATACACTAAGTCTTTTTCATCTGTTATGGCCATTGCTTTAAGGTGTAAATATCATGATTCGGCTCTTTGCCATGCATGCAAAAGTCATAAGTTCAATGCCTGTTTAGAGAAGTTATTTTTACCAAACATCTCTGTCTTTCTACCAGGGTTGGCAGACAGAGTGGAAGAAGCCTGTCTCCAATACAATTTTGAGAAATCTATTTAGTGAGACGTGCTGACAAAATGAGTTACTTCTTGCAATCCACAAATGGAGATATTGGCCAAAAATCGAAGTTAGGGTCAAATTTGTAGATTTTTAATGGATGCCGTATTCTTGAACTATAACCTGTCTTTTATTATTTCATACTTTATAAATTATAAAAACTTCAGCTATAAGCGTGATGTATCTATTTCCGTAAGGCTTGAATCCGAGAAGTAACTCATTTTGTCAGCACGCTTCATATTTGTATCTTGTAGAACTGGCATTAAATCTTTGAATAAAAAAAGGGTGGGGGGTGGGGGGAGGGATGGCAGGGATAATGAGATCACTTGATGCTATTTTTATCTCAGTATAGCTCTCCATACTGCTGACTAGTAGATACCTACCCTGTCATGTTTTCGCCCTGATCTTTCGCTCAGGATTTTAACCTTGAGTGAAGATTGTGTTCTTGTAATTATTAGATGGAAATAAAATCTGTGAAATGCTGGTTAATTAATTAATTTTTTTTTGGGGGGGGGGGCACAAGTTGTAAGTGAATGAAGATGTTCAAAGAACAGCAGACTTTGAGTAATTGGGTAGTACAGTAACACTCACCTATCTGTGCCTAATATGGACTCGGAACAAAACATTGGAGCAAAGAATTGCAACATGTGAAATGCGATGTCTTAGAAAAGCAGTAAACAAGACCAGGCAAGACAAAATTAGAGACTCAGTAGTCAGAGAAATGGTGGGCACAAATGATGTCATGCGTCACATCTAACACCAAAGAATCAAATGGTTCATACATCTCATGCGATTACCAACACACTATCCAGCACAACGTGCCTACATAAAAATATTCAATGGCAACAAGGCTAGAGGGCGACAGAGAAAGACCTGGGTAGATGAGATGGAGTCAGGGAAACACTAACAACTCATGGCATCCCTCTTGACCCAAGCTCTCCGGCTTGTGGCAGAGAAACATCTCTTTCTTCCCGTGGCTCCCAAAAGGATATAAGCGGCGGGTAAAAGTAAAAAAAAGATTTGTACAGTGCAGTCATGTATTTGTACCCTCTAACCCTAGCTCAAAGGGGTGCTGTGCTGTCACCAACAGCAATGGTGTTTGTTATTGCTGAAGTGGTGTATTATACCTGGTATCTGTATGCAGTTTTGAAATACACATATAATTTTTTTAATATGCGAGGCTTCGTGGTGAAATCAGGTGCTCGTCAAAATGTTGAAATTGAAGAAATCGTCATTTTTCCGACAGTTTGGCAATTTTAAACAAATTTTTTGGGTTTTTTTTGCTCAACGCCTTTTATGTCCATTTGAAAACACATTTATATGTGAATTATACTGAAAAACGTAGATTAGACTTAGAGGCACCAAAAATTATTTTCAGTTTCCAAGGACTGTCAAGTTATAGAAGTCACCAGACTTTTGCCACCATGTCCTTGCTAGTTCTTATTTCTGAAATAGGCCACCTCCACCTCCTTCCATCGCAAATATTTCACCTTTTTTTCGAGATAGATGGTTATTTTATTCATCAAAAGCAAGGCAAATGAACAGGCGTTAAGATGATACCAATAACTCCACATGCACAGAAATTGACAACTGCCTGATTCCAGAGCGTCGTAACACATATTGCTTGGCATTTCACACATACTGCTGTAACAGTGATTTTCCCTCACATGAATAAGATGAAGTCTTTCTTTTTTCTGTCATTCCAGAAAGCCATGCGTGCTCACTGCAGTCAGCTGGAGTGGTTCCGCTACTTGTACATTGTGTTCTCTCGCTACATGTTCATCAACACCTTCACAGAGGTCAAAGTGTGACTCATGAGGGAGACATGAACTGGCTCAAGAGTTTCACCTTCGTTCTACACTTCTCGAAATGATCGTACAAATTTTATGCGCTCATTAACGCAGTTTAGATTGATGAGGAGGCAGGCTACTTCAGTCGTGCCTGCCACCGGGGCCATTTCGGGCTGAATAGAAAACAATCTTCCTCCAAACAGAAGGAAACGATTGATGGTATTTATGAACACATCTAAGTCTTTCTGATGTCGATTTAAATTTAATAATATTTATTAACAAAAATATTACCACATAATGCCTATCATAGAGAGAACAATTTTTGTTCTCCAACAGTCAACTGGAACAATGATCATAAAAACTTATCAGTAATCACTCAAGGAAAAATAGAAGTAATAGAGTACAAAATTAATTTCCTTACTTGTACAATAGTGATACATAAATTTCTTCGCGGTTGAGTAATGTTTTAACCACAAAACGTTTAAGTACTTGTGCCTGTATCAGTACTGAACAACTTGTCGGTGAAACAGGTGTGTGAGAAGGGATAAACATATGAGTCATAGAAGACTTCACAATTCTTCCATCAGCCTATCTGTCTACTTACCTCAGGGTCATTTCCTGCCTTGTCAGATGCTGATGCGCCTGTTGGTCTAAATGAGCGAGGTGTGAATCTATCATCAAGCCCCACCTCTTGTATAGTTTCACGAAGAATACTTGATATGCCTGCGACACTCAACCTGTCGTATGGAGTGTTCTATGAAATGAAAACCTGACCATTTTTGTCAATCAAGGATTTTGTCGTTTCCAAATATAGCTTTAAGCAAGCAGCTGGGTCACACTTTTTCTGAGTAACAGGTCTCAGGAGTATTTCAAAACCTTCTTGGTCTTTATCATTTTTAACACCAAAGTATATGAGTGTTAGAGAATTGTCATTCTTAAAAGCGATAATAGCTCTCTTAATTTTTGTAAGGTCTGTGGGTCTACACATAGAGCAAAGTGCCAATAAAGAAAGACATTTTTGTCTCAGTTTCTTTAAACTGAGCTCTTCATTATTCGCTCAACTGTCAAACAATTTATTTAGAATATTGATTGACATTACAGGGGTGCAGTGCAGCCTTTCCCCCTTGTTGAACATGATTGTATTAGGGAATGCTTTAGGTTATACAGTAAAGGGTTCGAATCCTTTGTTTGAAAGAAATGGCCCAGTGCCGCCAAAATGGCCGTTAACTCACTGAGCACCGCTCCTGCAGCATACGCGGTCTGGTGAAATTTGCGTCGGGTACCGCGACCGCAGCATACGCGGGTTCAACTACAGTAGTCTCCGCCTAAGATCCCACCGCTTGCGATCCCGGTTTGCTTAAGATCCCGTTGTTTTAAGAAAACAGAATTTTTACTATACAAAAGTCACCCCTAAGATCCCGCTCTGATTCACTCTGAAAGTCTACATTCGGCTAAGATCCCGCATTTCAGATCATAATTTGCGGGGAAAAAACCCGGACGGTACAGCCGATCAACCAAGAGTGAAAATTTGAGATCAATAAACTGTCCGTCGCGTCAAAGATCAGCTACTATCGTGAATGTGATCACATACACGTTGTAAAACTCGATGAAGCGATACAATGTTTGCCCCAGACGGGATCACACTGGGGTTTGAACTGACCGACACGTTTGTTTTCCCCGAACATCTCACTCACACCTGAGCTATCCCCCTAAACTTACATCACTCGCTGGGTGGGTAGGGCCTACACGTTCGCGCCTGGCGGGATCACATTGAACTGTAAACTCTTCCCTGACCATTGGAGAAGTTGTTTCTACTCCCGAATTTGCGAGACAGACTGAATTTTAATTGGTGTGTTCACAACGTAATGGTGTGTAACGACAAAGGCAGTTGGGAGAGATGGAAAGCTGTAAATTTTCGACAGGTAAGGGGGAGGGGAGGGGCAACTTGATAAGCGTAGATCTTGAGCCTCATGATAGGATAATAAGTGAAAATGGCACGCCTCATCCCACTATGCCCTGTGATAGGTCATCAAGGTTAACCACTCTTTGCTCGCCATACGTCATAAACCCACCAAGCGGTCACGTCAGTTCATTTTAGAGTGGAGGGAGACCCTTTTACCGATTGTAAGCCTTAACATGGGTCACCATAGATTCTTCCATGGGTTCGTCGGTTAAGATCCCGGTTCGCCTAAGATCCCGCTTTTCCTTGCTCCCGAGGACCGGGATCTTAGGCGGAGACTACTGTATAATTGACTCTAAAGTAAACCCAGCTGTTTAAAAATGCTTACATATAGCCCCAGTGTTTTAGCAGGATATCGACAAGCTAGTTCTGTGTGGTTTGTGTATATTCACCACCTGTAGTGTGAATAAAGAGGTTATTTGTCCAACGGACTGAACAACTGAAAGTAAGGAACTTCCGCTCAGTTTGTTGTTGTTTCTCGTACGCGAAACACGGCACGGCGAGTTGTGTCGAAGTTTATTGAAACTCTCGATAATTTTGGTGAAGATTTAAGTGATAGTGAAGTTCAGATAGATAACTTCATAAATCAAAATGTGAATTCGCCTAGCAGTGATGAAGATGACTGAGAAAATGACGTTAGCTAGATCTAGGTCTAGACCAACATCGTCTCTTGATCGTGAATCTGACTCGTCAGCGAGTACGCAGCCTGGTCTGGCTGGGAATAATGATAGATTTAGATCTAGCCCCAGTACTAAACTCTAGTTCAAATCAGCCCTCAGAGTGGAGAAAATATATAATGTACCCGGACCTGGGACATCTATTGACAGATCTAGATCTAGTCCTAGCACTAGCAACACTGACAATGAAAACACTTCTCAGCCTGTTGCCGTGGAAGATCTAGATCTAGATTTTTTTTTTCCTTTTTCAAAATTAATTATCCCTTACATTTTTATGCTACTTCACTGTACACACTCCTGCTTCATTTTTCTACACACAAACACACACTGCCACAACCATTTTGTGTAAGTTTATTAGATTTCTGCTTTGTCACACCACTTCCTTTTTTTTTCAAAATTTTTTTTCAGGGGCAAATTTGTCCCAACTCTCTGTCCCATACATTTTTGTTGTTGTTCATTGTTCACACAATGTGTTTATTGTGTCTGTTGAACCCATATCTTATTAAATAGCACAGAAGATTTCAAAGAAATAGCATTTCATTTCAATTTTTTAATGAATTTTCAAAAAGTGGAGGAAATTTGTGGTCCTCTGGGGCTTGGAGGCAGATCGGAGCTTAATGCTCAGTGAGTTAATATGGACTCTGGCTGTTCAGAACCTTCGGCCTTGTCACACAAGTCACCTATTATTGCAGATCTGTTTTCAATGCCTGGAGGAATATATGTTTGCTTTTGGGTAGCTTTAGAGGTGGACACACTCTTAATCTTATTGCCTTTAATTTCTGAAACCAGGGTTGTGTTGGCCAAGCTGTACAAATGATTGTGGCGACTGCTCGGTCTGCCACTATTTTGTCTGCTACTTTGTTCATGAGCCTCAAAGGACGGCTTTTGAAGTTTTTGTGGCTGGACCAGTTTTGTCTGAAGGCATCCACCCCCGAAGTCATTGAATCCAGGAACCAGCTGTTGTACACTGGTGTCTGTACGCTTGATGCACTGGCAGACCTGTCTATTGTGAATGGCCCAAACTGTTGGTTCGGAAAAAGGAAAATCCCTATGTGCAGATACCATTCGTACTGATTTTGGAGCCTGGACATTCTGTCCGCTGTCACATTTAGAATCCCCTGTAAATATTTTACACTGAGTGATATATTGTTTTTGACTGCAAAAGACCATGTGTGTCTATTTTCAAAGGATTTAAGTAGATTTGTTATCGTATCTAATTGCTCTGTCACTGACTGGGCTTCCGCACTATGTTCATACTTAAACGCCTCAGCACCTTGTTTTGACATTCCAGGCAGCAGGATGAGTTATCGGTAATTAGGTCACCTCAATATTTTGTCCACTAACGATAGCACCTTGAACTTCACAAACCTATTGTTCAGGTGTGTCCTACAAATAACATAAGAACACTTTTAAAGTGATTTCCACAACTTTTGGAAACTGGTACTTTAAAAAAATGAATAAATTCTGTTTAGGATTATCAGAACCGGAGATTTAGGTGTAGCACTTGGCAAGAACAAATACTAAACTTCCAGTATCGGATGTGTAAACTGTAATCGATATCAGATGACCACAACAAAGATTGTACATAACAAGATAGTTCACTCGGCTAAAAAAGTGTCCACGGAAGTCCACGCATTGGTTTAGATGTCGCTGCAGTCTTTGTTTTGAAGTGCTCTCTTTCGTTTCTCCAGAAGAAGAATAGGAATAGCACCCCCTTGTGCATCAGCTGTTCCGGTTCACACTGTGCAGAGTTTTGGGTTTCTTTTATTTTAATCACCTCTCGCCTCTCGTTTTAAGCCAAATTAAACGAAGAAAACAGTCGCCCCTTCCACCTGAAGAGGATTTTTATCAGCGGAACCATTTAAAAAGGTGTTTTTCCGAAATTTTAATCTTAATTTCTACAAAAAATTGTTAGTTTCACTTAATTTTTTTCCACTTAAGTAGGGTAACTCTGTCTGCAAAGAGGGCGCTTTTTCGAAAAGGGTGCCACTGGATTTTGAGGACACTTTTTTCATTGGTTCAAAGAGAGGAGTGAACCATCTTGTTATACAGAATCTTTGACCACAATATAATATTACTTCTCCTGAAGGGAATCAAACTCTTGTCTTCTGTGTACAAAGCCAAAAAACTATAACCATTACACCTGGAGTACCGGCTGCTGCACACTTCATATCTTAAATGTTTGCGACACAGCTGCCTACCCGTGAAAGAGCCTATCAGTACTCCAATGCCAATTTTCAGTACTTTTCCCTACTTTTTCTATAAGTTTCAGTACTATTTCACGCGACATAAATTGGCACATATTTGATTTTAATCCCCCTCCCCAGAAAGCAATTCATTTATTCAGTTATTCGGACTTTTAGAAAACGATGTACCTATTTATTAGTTTTTAAAAAACAAACGAATAATGCCCAGGCCTGCTACCCGTTTGTAAAAAATAAGAAAGAAATTCACTTTCGCTTCCATCGTAGTTTTTTATTCGTATAACTGAAAAATCGAATCTTTCGATTTTGTTGGTCAGTGAACAGTTGATAACCTATTATTATTATCAACGATTTGACGAAAATCTGCACTTTTTCAAAGTTTTTGTATTTCCGAGGTTTGGGGCTGATTTTCGTTCTAAATACGGAAAATCCGAAGTGGTAGGCAGCTCTGTTCAAACCATGCTGAGACTTGTGAGGTTTTTCCAAGCTTCATACTTGTAATAAATTTAGTCCTTTTATTAAACTTTTTGATTCCTTTAGTTGAGTAAGAGAATGAAGGAGGTGGCCTCGTACAGCAACCGTACAGACAGGTTTATAATTAAGGGTACAGATAAAGTCCGGTACACCATACAAGTTCTGCTGCACATTGATTACTGTCTTTTTTTTATGAAACAAAGTATAAAAGAACGCCCTATTTTGTTTGTTTTCATGCTAGCTTTTCAATGTTATAGTGATATATGCCTGTATGTATATTGTGTCCATTGGACTGAATGAATGCCTGCTTGTGTGTTATGAATGCAATGCATTGAAATGGTACAAGAGAAAGGAGTGAGAACAAGGTTGTTGTAGTGTATAAAGTCTGAAGTAACATGTTTTTATTTTCAGCCTTTTTATAAGTGATTTTCTATAATAAAATACTTTAAATTATCCTTGGCCTTGATAAAGCTTTATTTAAAATCAAGACTTTGCTCTTTGTTGATCTTGTGTAACTCTGGAAAATTGCTGACTTATATAAGATGGTAATGTGAGGACTATATTAAAAAAAGAAATTCTGGTATTGAGTACTGAATACTTTATCTGTTCATCATCATCATCATTGCTTTTCTCATCGTGTACCAGGGTATAGGCCATGGACAAACACTTCCCACCTTTCTCTGTTCTGGGCTAGCCAGCCTCTTGATGTTATTCCATGTCTTCCCACTTTTCTGTACATAAATATCTGTTATTCTTCTCCAGGTTCCATGCGGTCTTTCCCTTGATCTTTTGCCCTGTGGATTCAAATCCAACACTTTCTTTGTTATGCAGCTGCCTGACTTCCTGAGAGTATGTCCGATCCATCGCCTCCGTCTTCTTCCTACCTCATCTCTGACTGGGATCTGTCTTGTTTTCCTTAACCCTATTCATATGTTGTGTTTTACTACTGTATCCATATGACGTGGGGAACTCTGTGCCACCACTTTCCAAAGAAGAAATTTACTGGTTAATCCGATCCATACACTTTGCATAGCAGTCTGTCAAAATGATTTTTTTTAGAAATACTGAAAGTTTCATACTAGAAGTATTCTGTGAAGAATACAACCCCGGAGGTACAAAATGACCCCAGGGCGTACGGATAGGGTTAACACTTCCTCGTTGGTGACCCTGTCGGCCCATCTGATCTTCAGTAACTTTCTTAGACACTTGTTCAAGAAAACCTGGATCCACTTTACCTATTCTATTGCACTGTCCGTATCAGAGATGGGTCAGGAAAATGTTAACTCATTGTGGACTGGCTAGCGGTACTTGTGTATTCACCATATTATGAACTAGACGAATCAGAAAACAAATTTATTTTAGTACTTACTAGTAATACTAGTGTTATCTGCTTTCAAATTCTATTATTAAGTAACACTAACAACATCCGCTGGAATCTTGAGTCATCATTGTCATCAGTTGTAGAGTGAAGTAGGCCTACAATGTGTAAGATCGTCTGAAGGTCTCGCAGATTATCTCATCTGCTGAAAGTGAAAGGGTCTTTGAGCTGTTGGTCAACTGTGAAGATGGACATTCACAAGAAGTAGTTTACCGTTGATTTCATCAAAACCAGAGTTGACAATGAATTTTGTTTTATTAAATGTTTTATGGCCCTTGCAACACAATTAGGTCCTAGAGGTGTTACAAATTACAATTTTAAAAAAGGAGCGAAAGAGATATATGGATAAAAGATGTTTGATGGGAAGAAGAAGCAAACCACACTAAAGCACCTGCAAACCACCCACACCAATGAATTTAATCTTGACTGATTACCTGATAGACCTAGTGTTAACACTTCTGTCATAGGTGTGTATTGACTGTCCCAGTCCACATTTCAACACGCAAAGGTAATTTATTAGGTAGGATTTATTAGGTAGGAAATCCACTTTATCTTCCATCTCTGAGACTGAGAGCTATTTAAAAACTCCTCAAGCCTAAAAGTAAGCTTTACTGGGGATCTGAAGCAGGGTCAGCTAGACCCTAATTGAGCTAAAGGAGTGTTGAAAAAGGAAATATAAAAAATTTCTGGAGATGGAAATACAAAATACACAGAATATTGAAGTTCAAGTAGAGGTACAAGACAAGCCCCTCAGACAACTGAAGAGACCAAAAGACTAAGCAGCACCATTTTAAAAAGAATGTAAGAGTTGTTTTTCTGTTTGTTTTTTTAGTTGGAGTAAAGTTTTACGGTGCTCGCAACTGCATATTGTCACATGAGCACCAAGGGCTGGATGTCAACAAAGAAGTCCAAACGGGGAATCATGCTTACTCCGCTCACCTCTCTAGCCTCAACAGAACAAAGTTTGCTTCGACTATCAGGGCACAAATCACACAAATATACAAAAGAAATAGAAGAAAAATGACGATAGTAAGGATGAGGAAAGAAAAAGCAGCAGTTCTCCCTATCTACTATCTTGTTCCTGCACAGCATGAGCATGACGTTGATAAATCAGCCCATTTACAAATTTTACTGTGCACAAGGGTGGGAATGGCTTACAGGTGTTTTTTAAGCTCCCATTGACGCGTTAGATTATTTAGGAGGCGGGCTTACGACCTTGCCTGTCATGGCCAACCGGAGTTGGAAAGAGATACAAAGTAGGATAGCAAAAAAAAAAAAAAAAGAAAAAAAAAAGGGAAAGAAATGAAGAAGCACTCTCCAATCATCAGCAAAGGAGACCCTTTCTAACATCTAGAGTTATGAAATCTGACAGCTTGCATACCACCATGCTCCTAAAAGGACATTTCTCAATAAACTGGGTGTCCCAAAAGTTGGGCACCATCCTTAAAACCTTCAAGCACAGAAATTGATGATTTGAAGGGCACAATATCTACAGAGGGAAAAACACTGGGGCCTGTAAAAGCGAAACGACAGCTTTCTTAAGAGAGTCAATGCTCATTTTGCTGTGGAAAGAGCTCAACTCAGTTTGAGTATTTACTATAATTTCATTCAAGCTGTTTTTTATGAAAACTAGGATGGTGCGTGACTTTTGGGACATCCTGAGTATTATATTTCGCCTTGTCATGCAAGCTTTGTTCACTGCAAGATATTAAAAAATTTTAGTTTTAGTAGAGGTTTTACGGCACTCGCAACTGCATAAGGTCATATGAGCGCCAGGAGATTAGAGGTGTTACAAGAGAGTAACAAACATAAAAAAGAAAAAGGCGCGATAAGGACGATAGATGTTCGATAGAAAAGAAAATTTTTTTTAGGAAGAGTTTTATGGCACTTGCAACACAATAAGGTCATATAAGTGCAGACGGTTAGAAATGTTACAAGAGAGTAACAAACAAAAAAGAACGAGGAGGGATGAGGACGATAGATGTTTGTTGATAGGAAAGAAGGAGCAAACCACAACAGAGCACCTGCCTACCATCCATGAGATATGTTTAATTATTAACAAGAAACTGAGAAGACCAAACATGGGCTACATGTACAGCACTACACATTTTATTTTGAACATAGTGAGGCACAAAACAACAGGTAAAGCAAAGGCAAAACTGTGTTCCCACTTCAAACTCAATAAATAAAGACTTATCAAAGACTACACGTATTTGGTCAAATGTTCAAACGTTTAGCTAATTTAAATTACCAATTTGGAAACAAATACTGAACAGCGTGATTATGCCTGTATGTTAGTTGAGTCAAGATCGGATGTAGTGAAAGCAAACATAGTACACAAAAATAGACAAAATTTACAAACATATACTGAGCGAGCTTCAATAAAATCACTTATGCAATGGTACATGCGTTTCTGTTTCTTCTGCATTTGATGTCAAAACCATACTGGTTACAAAACTATGTGAATAAAAAGACACAAAAAAACCAAATATGCTACACCATATTAACAAAATGTCAACTACAAAAAAATTATCAGAAGTTGAAAATCAAAAGAAATAATAATAAAGACAAGTAATGTCACAACAACATTGCTACATTCCACCCCCATACAGAGCAACGCATATTTCTGCTATGAGAACACAAACGCCAGGCACCATAATTCAAATAGAGCTTGGGGTACATTTCGGAAGCTTCACTTTTCTTCCAAAATGTCCCTTATCAAGAGTATCTTATAAACTTAACCCTTTGAACATTTCTAAAAATCTCTATCCTTACTTCAACTTGACATGGAAAGACCCATCTGCACCAGCCTTACAAGGCGATGAAACCATGAAATATGCTCGTGCTAGGTTTACCAGCCCTTTAGTTTAAAAGGAAAACCCCTATGTTCAATGAAGGTGTAATTGTTAAATCTTTCGAAGGGCATACAATTTAAAAGGGTTATTCTGTCAAGACTGAAAACAAATTTTGACACAATTAACGTTAAGTATTATCTGGCAAGGCTCAACTATGGCCATATTCACACAGCTAGCTGTCTGCTATCCATAGTGTGTAAGACCCGAGGGTATACATGAACACTAATAATATATATATATCAATAATGGAAGAGCGTATTTTGCTCTGAAAAGTCAGTGTATCTTTAATCTGCAGCAAAAGTAAAAGTGAAGAAGTACATAAATGTGAGGCATCGTGGTGAAATCAGACGCTCGTTAAAATAATGAAATTGAAGAAACGGACATTTTCCCGCTCATTGTGCAATATTTATTGATTTTGTTGTTGTTGTTTTTTTTAAGCTCAACACCTTTTATGTCCGTTTAGAGATACATTTATTTCTGTGTGAATTTTACTAAAAAACTTTAAGGCACTCATTATATAAATTTTCTCTTTCCAACCATACTACTCTGCTGTAAGCTGACAAAACGTCTTTTTTATTCACGGTAGTTTCGAGAAAAAGAAGTTTTTTGTCAGCGTAACCACTGCAAAATAGAGTCCTCCCGAAATTGTGAATTCAAATTTATTTAAAAACCTAGTCAGTTTCACTTTGATTTTTTCACACAAGTAGGGTAACCGATCAGACTTTCAATTTAGCAAATAAAAAATGAGGGTGCCAAAATGAAAAAAAGGAGTTTTGTCAGCTCACTGCAGTACAACTTTGGTGGTCATTTTCCCCGCTAATTTTACCTCTGACACCGGTAAACCCTCCCATCCATATCAACCTCAAATATCTAGACTTATATGTAAGAAAGACGGATACTTTTTTTTCATCGAAAGAAAGAAAAATTTACAGGCTTTAAGAGTATACCAATAACTTCATATGCCAAAAAATTGACAAGTGTCTGATTTCACCGCGTTGTGACACATGTATACATGTATAAATGATACACATGAATTATGCTTCAAAGTTTGAAGATTATTTTCTGATGGTTCAGGAGAGCAAATAAATGTCTTATTTTTAAAAAAAAGGACATCATTTGCCAAGCTGCGATCTAACCATAGCTCATCCATGGCTAGCTCATCTGGCACAAAAATGCACGGTCAGAGCGATAAATTGAACACAAAACCAAATTGCAGTCTCTACATCTAACACCCCTCCTCAAATCTCACCCCTGTCGCTTTGCACAAACATTTAGATATTTATAATTAATTACATCATATTATTTTCTATCAATTACAAAATTTAAGCATGGCCGTACAAAATAAAACAGACGAAAGGCTCATGAACATTCCTGTACTGGCAATATTCCAATATAAAACAAACAAAACAACAAAAAACAAACTGACTAGGCAGTTAATACACAAATGAATGCTCTTCATAAATAAAACATTTTGCACAGAACATGACTGCATTAAAAAAAGTCATTTCAGTGTTTAAAAAATCACGTGGTAGCACAGTTCTAGAGGGAACCCCCCATTATACTATGTTGCTGACTAGAATACTACACTGAAAGTACACCAATTCACAAGTAAAACTTATATATTTACATAATACTTAATGTTCATTAAAGTAACAAAACTGAATTAAAAAAAAAACACGATTTTGAACACAGCAATTTCTATTTTCTCTTCTCTTTAACTGACTGGAAAAGAAAAAAAATAACCTTAGTGCAATAAAACATCTATAAATTTCCTGAACATGGTCAAATACTGATTTTTGTCATTTTCCTCATAACGGGAAACATTATGATGAAAACTTAAAATACGCTGCAAGTAAATGATTCATTGACAATAAACAGTCCGCAAGAGAGCTACATGGTAAGTAGAATCATTTACAAACAATACTCAACAAAAAAAAACAACTAAACCCAGCGGTGAACAAAAGGGGACAAAATAATAATTAATACTTTAAGAAACTCATTCATACTGCCTTTCAAATTAAAAAAAATTTTAATGACACAAATTACATGAATATCACAAAACTTTGAAAGTACAAGAATGCATTTGTTTTTACAACAATAAGAGATCCAGTTATCATGAACGGACAATATCGAAACATACTGAGCAAACCAATTCATCAAGCTGACATCTACACGATGCAGCTGTTAATAATAATAATATGCTAGACACAAAATGAAGCGACGCACAACAACATGTTCTACTTGGCGGGCGTTCCCAGCTAAGGACACAATGAAAGCAGAGGAGTGAAACATAGATAATAATACACATTCTCCTTCAGCAGAGGTTATTTTTTCTCTAGGAATGTTCTGTCACCTCACTAATGGAACACTTAAGAGTGAAAGCAGAGGAGTGAAACATAGATAATAATACACATTCTCCTTCAGCAGAGGTTATTTTTTCTCTAGGAATGTTCTGTCACCTCACTAATGGAACACTTAAGAGTGAAAGCAGAGGAATGAAAGAGCAACAACAAGGTATTTTATCATGAATTATTTTCAGAGTAAGAAACCATTTTCTCAGCAATGGGCAAAGTTGATAGCAGTAAAAGAAAGGGTAATTTCGCCATGTCCAGGTTCGTCACAGTAAAAGGAAACACTGAAAGCCCAGATTACAAATTAAAATTGAAGGAAACTTTGTGAGCATTCTCTTAAAAATTGAATTAAAAAACCTTCCTCTAAACATCACAGTTTACACAGCAAAAAAAAAAAAAGAAAAAAAGTCAGTTAGTTTAGAGGAAAAAAGATTAGCTCAATTCAATGAACCTCACTTACTTGGGTCACAACTCAAAAAGAAATGCAACAGCTTTTAAAAAGTTAAAATGAAACTTACTTTGCTCGAAGTAAAATCCACAAAATCTTCTACACATTTTTCTCTTTTTAGACATCTGACTGCTGCATTTTAAGTGAATGAATAAAATCCAAAACTTGAAAAAGAAAAAGTTTTCTCATTAGCCACATCCTTTTGACCAGAGTAACCTCTTTGCCACTCATCAGTGTCTATTGGAGGAACCATGATTTATATAAAAACAGATTTCACTTAAGTCCATATATGATGCGAGCTTGTGAAATGAGCTTTTAAGAACTAATAAGATTATCTTTGTCATAATTTCGATCAGGCCGAAGAACTCGAACTCAGATGGCCGTTGGATCGGAAAAGAGTCATACCTAGGAACTTCCATCTCTTGAGGTATTTAGACCTGGCTTCATAACAACCCATTTTCATACCACAACAAGAGTTGATTTGGGAAAAACAGTGACAAAAATGTTAGTACTCTAAATCATATCAATCTGATAAATAAAAAAATCTGCTGGGACTTGTGTCCCTATAACAAAATGCATACAATAGTTGTTTTTTTAAACAATACCATTTTAAATGAGAGTGAAGTCCTTCAGAAATGAAAAAAAAAACCCTTCTGAAAGAGGAAAAAATAAAGAAACAGAGGAAGGCATAACATTCAGACTCTTATTCAGGCCTGTATTCATTTCTTTAGTTCTCTGGTAAAACTACTGAGAAAATATGTGTTTCTTTATCAAATGCCTGCTCACTTCAAAGGAAATAAAAATCTATGACTCGCTTATAATGAATAAAAAACCTACCAGATTATGAAAATTATACGCGGATAGAGCTAAGCTATATTTCAACCATAGATAGGATCCATTACTGAAAGGATAACTATGATACTTTAAAATTAATATTGCACAAAATACTAGTTTAAAAAATGATTGTCAGTTGTTCAAGACAAAGTCCAGATGCATGTCTGTCCTATACAGTCAGATCAGATGGTACGATGAATCTGACTCACATTAAACCAAGACGAATTTTCTCTGTATTATTATGATCCATAAAAATGAACTCCAGTCTACGACCAAGACGGCTCCTAGTCGAGGCTGTGATTGACAAAATAAAATAATTTGAAAGGAAAGCTTAAAGTCTTACAAGATACAAGTTCAGTGACTTTTAGTTGATATTAACAAACAAAAATAAAAAGGAACAAGATGACAACAATCAGTGCGGTATCTGAATGTGTTAACAACACTTCATCATGCATACAACAAACATGTTGAAGATTAAAACGTTGAGAGTTAAAGCCTTGGCTAACAACAACATGAAGTCAATACTGGAAGGAACAGTGTATACAGTCGCCATGCCAATGAACTTTACACATATGAAAAAACACACAATACAGTACAACAATGATACAGAAAACACTTTTTCCTATTCAATAGTAGCCACGAGTTTCTATGAGCACAAACGTCAGCATAAAGAGAAGTAACAAAACCAACGACAGATCACGCTCAAACCTCATGGCACTAGGTGAAAGTCTACATTATATAGGAAACTGATTTATGTACAATCTTAAAGCTCCACTCTGTAACAAACTAAATATTATTTTGTCTACTTTAAGAGAGTTATTTCCTCCTGCAAATTATCAAAGGAACAATTAATTGCCAGATTTTACCTCTTTGTAAAAATCTGTTAGATAAACAAACGGAAATCACTAGAGAAATTATTTGTTGAATGCAAGCAACAGCCTTCAACAGATGATGAGCCCAAATCTCCTCCTAGAATCTGACAATACTAGAATTAGTTCAAGATCAAGACTAAAAGGATAAAAAAAAAAAATCACCTCCCAAAATTGTATAATTTTGAAGATTTCGTTCACAGAAGTTGATATAATATACCTAAAAAAAAAAACCCAACTAAAGCGAACAGTCTTCTGTCTCCTCCCTCGTCTGTAGGGAAGGTGGGGAAACCAAAAGCCACATCCCATAGCTTGAAGTCCCAAACCTCATCTACGAATAGTTCATAACTCTCTGAATCCTTCAATAACTCATTCAGGGATGCCAAATGATTTTTGCAAAAAAAAACACCTGAAAATGAGCGGAGCATCACATCTCACCGAACCTTGTAAAGCTTTTAAATGAGAAAACAAAAGCATATTCTCTCTTACCTCTGCCCTTTCCTTTGCAAGTGAAGAAACCCCGGAAAAACCAGACATTTGGCATCCCTGCTCATTGCCCCTACTATTTAACGAGAAACATATACGAACCACTGTTGAACCATAAATGCGTGTAAGCAAAATATACAATGTAAATGTTCAGAAATGGGAGATGCGGCAAATTTAGTTAAACTATGTGAGTATGATGTGGTGCACATTTTATGAAGCTAAATCCTCTATTTTTGTGACAAGTGGTATACACAAATGTTGTCAACCCTGAACAATTTGCATGTGTTTCATGTTAAATACATAGGCCTATCGGGATGTTGAGATGGAACATTCACTGATCGTTTTTATATTGGTGGGTAATGTATTTTTTATGTCTCGTTTCATTTTCAAGTCGGAGCAATTTGACATAACTTTTGACATCTTCACTGACATGTTCATTCAGAAGAGCCTTTAAAAGATGAGGACAGGCAGAACACTTATGGTTTGGGCAGGTTCATAATGTGGAGAACAAATTATTTCTTCATTAATAAAAAACATAATTAAATACAAAACTGAGTACTTAAATTGTAGACTAATATATTAATCAAAAGATCAGCTATTCCACATTGAACACAAAGTACTTAGTGAATTAAAAAAAAACACTCCACCCCAACCACATATAACATGATTAAATAAGTGTCAATATGAATGAAAAGTTTCAAAAATCATTTTTGTGAGATCAAAAGCAACATCCGGTGATGAACTTCCACAAGCTGGACTTTCTACAACAGGGTCTGTACTTGTAACGCTTCTCATGATATAGATACACATGACCAGGCCTCAGGAAAGCCCAACCTCTCCACACACAGAATGTACACGTGAAGAAATATGCGAGGCAGTGTGGTGAAATCAGGCGCTTGTCAAAATAATGAAATTGAAGATACAGAAATTTTCAGACAGTTCAGCAATTTTTATCAAATTTTTGGTTTTTGACTAATCATCTTTTTTTTCCACCTTCATTTAAATACACATTGTTGTGTTGATTTTTAAAAAAAATACATTGATTAAAAGCAAACAAAATGTAAATTTTCAGTTTCCAAGGAATCTCAAGCTTTGCAAGTCACCAAACTTTGGTGGCCATTTTCTTGCTTATTTTACCGCTGAAACCAAGTGACTCCCACCTCCTTCAATCGTAAACACCAAAACTTTTATCCAAGTCAAATGGGTACTTTTTTTCTCATCAAAAGACAGACAAATGAGCACGCTTTAAGTTGATAACAATATCTCCAAATGCCCAAATATTGACGAGTGTCTGATTCCACCGCATCGAGGAACAGCGTGAGCAAGATGACAACTTCATTGATGTAATGCAAGAAATCAACAAATCATTTAACCATATGAGATACAATAGAGGCAACATTAATGAGCAATGAAGTAAATACATTATATATAAAACTGATTAAGGTACAATCTTATTACCTACTCAGTGAAAGTAAGAAATTTCATACACATGTATAGCAAAACAGATGTTGCGTTGTAAAATCAGCGATCACCGATCTTCCAACGCAAAACATCTTTGATCCTCAGTATACCAAGAATGATTTTAGCTTTGAAATAAGCTGTGCTCTTCCCTTACTGCTTTATCATATGGGTTTGATAATTTCATTTCAGAATTATAAATTGTGACTCTGGGATAGCAGACCAAGGCATATCCAGACAGAGAGTACCTTGAGAAAAAGTCGGGTGGACAAAGACCAACCCCTCATTTACTGGTAGAAAATTAAGGTCAACCAAGCACAAGCCTAACAAAGTCTTGGAAATAGGACTCGCTTTGACTCACTGACTGCCGAACCGACACTGCGTCCGTAAGTCTAGACATACAAGAAATCCCAAACCTGCACCCCTGCCAGTTTCAATTTCTGTACTATATTTACATTATTTACCCATTCACGAACAATCTTGGCTGTGTCCCTCGATCCATTAGTGTTGCTTTTGAAGGTTTTCTTTTATACTGAGGTGCTTTTCAATGGGTATCTTTTACATCTGGCAGAGTGGTGCCTGAATTTTATGTTGAACTTGAACTTGAATATCGTCCAACCTCTAAAAGTAAAACTGTTCATTTGTGTGGGTTCTGATATTCAACATGGCATACAAGATGGTCACAAGAAAGACTTAGAATATTCAGATCTCAATTATTTCGTTAAAAAGGGTTTACAAAAAACAAACCTAAATCCATGCCTTAGAGGCTGCTTCAAGCACTTCCTCAACAATGACTCATGTAATCAAGATTTAATTTTTGTCCATATATTTCAAATAATCATTTTAAAAAAAGTATGACACTAATTGAAAATCTGTTTTCCCCTCAATAAAACACAACATAAAAATTATAGATGGTAAAAATTATATTATAAGTGTTCGTCTAGAAAAGTCATCCGACAATTAATGTTCTAAATCACCCTTTGCATGCCGGCAGCCAGGGTTGAATTGGGGTACCAACACCAGCAGTCAGTGAGTTACGACAGAAAATGAACACATCTCAAAGAATAAGGTAAAGTGAGTACTCAACTGTGCCATTTTACTTGCCCCAGCAATTCTAGACTCAGAGGCAAACAATTAAAAACAAAAATCCACCCAAAACTATATACCAAAAGTTAAACCTCTGCAACCTCCAAACATAACTTACCAAAAAATTTAGTGAGTAGCAAAACATGATTGCAAAATACATATGAAGGCAAAAGGAGCAGTGGATGGCAACAGTTAAAAACAGAGCTAAAAACCAGCATCATGGATGGTCCGGGCTTTGGGAATGTCAGTGATGGGTAAAAAAACAACAAGGCAACAAAGTCTAGCTAACAACAAAATACGTAAAGACACAGGAATGGTGACTGCAGAAAAAAAAATAATTATCTACTGTGCGCTGTCTTCACGTTAAGAGCAGTGTGACAAACTTTGGCATTCTTCATTCCGCCCTGCTACGCAAGACATGGAAAAAGTCGGACACAAACACCAAACATTTGATCTAAAAAAAAATGATTACAACGAGGAGTGTGCCCCTACCCAATTGTCCAGTATACGACTAGGAAACTGTCCTTTAAAAACCCAACCAGTATTAACATCAGCACCAAATCTCTCCAACATCAAACTGTTATCATCAAAATAAACAAATAGCACCAACATAATGGTCTGGCAAGACGCAGCACCAGCATCTTTCTTTCTTTCACAAGTGTATCGAAGCTTGCACGTCTTTCTTTCACAAAATCTGTAGCTTAGCAAGCTATAGAAGCACTGTCTGTTTATATAGTAACCGAAGAACTTGTTGAAGGCTTGCAGAGAACTGGCTTGGTGCTCGCGACTGCTGAATGTCACAGTCCATGTTGTCATCTGATGGGAAGGTTCCTCACCCTGACACAGGTGGGACTTGTATCTTCATTACAAATACAAAGAATAAGACACAACACAGAAAAGGATGGGAACCCCCCCCCCCCCCTCTTTTCTTCCTTTCTCCTTTTTATGCTTTACATGTTAAGCCAAACTCTTAAAAAGGAAAAAAACCCAACAACAAATAAAACCCCCAACCCTTTTCCCCGACTCTTTTTAAAAGAATTCAAGAGATGCCAACCCTGGTACATGACATCTTACAAAGATCGTCATGATGATGGGGATGAAGCCTACCTGAGACAACAAGTGAAGAGTGAGAATACAATTATGCAGTTACAGATCAGAATTCTATCGTGTAGAATCACAAAGGAGTTAAAGCATTTTGAAGGGAAAAATACTTACTGTCTCCAATTACGGCAAATAAAGTCTACCACAGAATACGATCATACAGTGTAATCATTTATGTCTGTTGCAAACTCAGCATTACAATCCAAAATTGAAATAATATGTGACTAAAAGTTTTTTAATTGAAAAAAGAAAAACGTCTTCAATTATAACACGTTTTACTCAATAAAAACTGGCGTTGACAAGATGACAAGGACATGTAGTTACTTGAGGGGGGCATTGCGCTGCCATGAGCGAAATGCTCGCAGCTAAAGAGATTTGAAAACATCAAACAACAACAACAATTCAATATAAATGCCAGTGTGTCTACCTCTTTTTAAAATTCTGGAATACTGCCATAGTTCCTTAAAAGGTATCTAATACCCCAGTTTCTTTATGCGTACATTCGAAAAAGTGCCAGTGTGTCCACCTCTTTTTAAAATTCTGGAATACTGCCATAGTTCCTTAAAAGGTCTCTAATACCCCAGTTTCTTTATGCGTACATTCGAAACATATAACAGTAAGTGTGACTATACATGATATATAAATATATTCACAGGAGCTGTACAACCATAAGGCCAAGCATACTACATGGAGAAAATGCTGAGGGCATCAGCAGCAGGAGTGAACGTGAATGAAGCACAATGTTGACCAATTAGTGGGGGGGGGGGGGGGGGGGGGAGAAAAAGGCTCACATGGCAAGAACACAGGGGGTCATTTACACAACAAAGCAGTCGGAAATCCGGAAATTCTGACAGAATTTTGAAATAGCACTGGAAGCACATGGTGGCTTTGCCACGAATGATCATGACCAAAAAAGAATCCGGTCCACTGAACCTAAACACCATAATCTGTCACATGTATCCTTGTATCTCTTGCCTCTGTGACATCTAATAGACCCGTGGTTGCTGATGTTTAAAAAAAAAAAAAAATTCCCAGGGGACCAGAGAAAAGGAATGGGGAGGAAAAAAAACCCATGCTGTAGCTTTGCAACCTTGATTTTAATTCCTTGGCTGAAAACATACAGTCAAGGTGGCAGGAAAAGCCATCCATCTTTTGACCGACGCCAGGGAACTGTAAGTCCTACATGCCTTTTCTTCAGAATCTGAACCCTCCAGAAACTTCCACAGTGGCTATAACACATCGCAGAGCTTCACACATAATCAATTTCATCTCAAAACGAACTCACCAATCCCATAACAAAGCACTATTTACCCAAGTAAAACATCGGTTACTATGTTCCGCCTCCCACCTTACCCTTTCCACTGCTCTACAGCTATTGGTAAAAGTAAAGCACAACCCACTTCACACAGACCCAACCGGTCTTCGTTCCTACCACACACTGACATAACAGTGCTTTCTTTGTTCCTATGATAGACTGACATCTGTTCTTTCATGTTTCAACTGTTTTTAAAAAATAAATTCCCACTCTATACTGTCACAACAGTTCTTTCTTTGTTCCCACTAAACACACAACAGTTTTTTTAAAAATTCCCACTCTGTGCTTAAATACAACTGTTCTTTCTATGTTCCCACTCCACAATTGCACAACCGTTGTTTGTTCCCTCTCAACACTGGCACAACAAGCTGCAATGTCCCCTTTAAAGAGACATCCTTAGGTGAAGGGAAGAGGAGGATTTTGACTTTCTCATCTGAGCACTTTTCTGGGAGATCTGCACATCTTGACCCACACCCCGCTCTTGACCTTTCGCCGACCCTTCCTCTCCACTGATACTCTGTGCATTACAGCTGGTGGTACCTTGTTGCTCAGCACTGTCAGCCTGGCAGAAGAGGTAAGAAAAAGCCACTGTTAGCAACAAATTTCACGATATTTCTTTTTAGCTTTCGTACGAGTTTTACGGCACTTGAAGCACAAACAGGTCATAGAAGTGCCAAAGATTAGAGGTGTTGCTAGAGAGTAACAACAGAGAAAAGGAGGAGGAGAGATAAGAACAATAGAAGTTTGATATAGAAGTTAATACTAGAGGGACAAAAAGTCTCCTCTCAAAACATTTCAAGTGGGTGGCCACATACACGATGCTATCTAAAATAATTCTCACTCAAAATTCATTTATTTTTTACCTATATATCTGAAAAAAAAAACCCAAACCAAACCCAAGGACCACATTGTACCAGGAATAAAAACCACACTTCACTAGATTCTGAAAGGACACTTGAATCAACAACAAACTGGTTCAGTTCAAGAAACCCATTTGATATTTTTCTCAAATCTTTTTTTTCTTCTTTCCCTTGGCTGCAGATCTTTCTCTGTCACATATATTTTCGATGTGAGGATCGTCTGTAAATAACTCATTTACAATCTGATCCTCACATTGAAAAGACCTGTGACAGAGAAAGATCTGCGGTTAAGGGAACGCAAAGAAATTTAATTTTAGAAAAATGTGGTACACAGGTTTCTTGAACTGAACTGTCAATAAAAACCTTGAAAATCTTGTTCTTATTGGGAAAAGGAACAATGAAAGCGGCAAAGGTGGAACAAAAAAATCTTGCACCGAGAACTTGAACAGACAGGTGACAGGAAAATATACAAATTCCTTTACCTGCATGACGGGCATTCGGTCAATGCAGAGTCTCATCTGTTCGATGAGGTCAAGAAGGTCGTCAGGGGTCACGGCCTCAGGGCCCTTAGTAGCAGCAGCAGGCTGTGGTGATGGAGCTGGATGGCCCTGCACCTTCTGTACCAGTTCCCGTAACTGAACACAGGCCAGGGAAATTTTCTCCTGCTGAAATATGGTACAAATAAGAAAGAGGGTAGAAACAAATACATGATAAACCAAGAAAGATGACAGGAGTCATGTCTCTTTTAAGTTTTAGGATAGAGTAAAGAGCGACACAATGACAGTCAATTCGTGCAGAGAAAAAAACAAGAACAAGTGGCACTCTTCAGCCTTTCTCAACACATCTATAGGCAAAAATCAGAACAGTGACAAGCCAAGCTAAGGGTGCTCCTCTGAGACAGCAACATTGTCAAACTCGAGGGACCACTCCCAGAAAAGACAAGTCAACATCAAGTCTACAAAGCAGGAAAAATAATTCAGCTCTTAACAAAGAAAAGACAAAAAAACAACAACAACTGAACTCTTACGTTCTAGAATGTTCTACTACCTACGGCCTTTTAAAAAATGAGGTTAACAGTATTCACAGTCTATAAATAATACACATAACAGCTTCAAGTCCAAATTATCTGAATTCTACTTCAGATCAATTGTTTTATTGTTACTAAATACTGGAAAAACCCTTAAATCTAACTGCAAAAAAATCCACAACTTTTAACACATTACACCCTAAGAGCCTGGATGAGAAGTCCATTCCTAGATCCTAAGCAAAAGGAAGGAACCCACCCCCCGTGAATACAAGCGTTTAAAAAACACATTTTAAAAATACTAAACAAATTTGTTTAAATCCTGAAAAAACAAAAGTTCAAAAGAAAAATGAATGTAGTTTCAGAAAAATATAGATTTAACTTTAATGTATGCACAAACTGTACGAAATGTTCAGTCGGGGTGTCCGACCCTCACTCTCACCCTCGTGGTCGCGCCCTAGATCTAAATTCTAGATTTTCTACAACTGATCAATCCGAATCGCCCCAAACTCTTGCTACAACATTTTCATCAAAATCTGAGTCATCCGATTTGTCATATGCTTGTTTTTGATATAATCCATCATTATTTCCTTTTACGAATTCAATTGTGTTACTTTTCAACAAGTTGAGACACCTTTAAATTGTCGGTAACGTGATCGCACTTCGATCGACTCTAATACTAAAACTACTGGCCTGAAAATTTTCGTTTCGGTATCAACAAAAGAAGAAACTTTTTGCAATAAAATGCAAATCGTCAAGGCGAGACTTTGTTTCTAAAGACGCTAGGTCGGCGCAGGCGAACCCGGGTGAGTTTGAGTTAGGGTGTAATGTGTTAAATGATGGAGCAGTGAAATCTGAGATAAGGTCTCCACTTTCTTTGGTACCTAATTTTTTTGTAAGTTTTTTTTTTCCTTCAAAATTCCATCTTTCTTTGGCAAATTGCTTGGACTTTATCATCTGGTTAACAAGAACACGACGTCACGTAGCAATGCCAATCAGGCTTCAGTGCGGTGTTCACACCTCAACGGGGAAAAAAGGAATTTTAATTGAATGGCATGCTAGACTGAATTAAATTATATTTTATGGTTGGCATGGTCTAAAGTCATCAAAAAAAGCTTTGCCATTATTAAATCACGCTGCCAACATATTCTTAAAGATCCCATGTAGGGAAACAATGCTATAAATAAAATGCTCTCATCCTGACACCCCTTTTTCGCCAAATCGAAATTAGGACACCAAAATTTTAATTATAACAAAATAACCATGAAATGGTTAGTAAATCTGACTGCAGAAATGATTTCTCCACCCAAAAACACATGGGGTAGCCAAGTTTCTCTCTATCACTCAAATTAACTACTGAGATATCGTTGATTTCCTTACAGCATCTGCTACTGTGTGGTCCACTTTTAGGAGTATTTTCCTATATGTGGGTCATCCATATTTTGCCGACCTTTACAACACCAAAACTTTTTTATTTATGAACCGATTCTTAAAATTCAAAAAGTATAATTCTTAGAATTGAAAACCCTTTCTTAAGGTATTAAATTAAGAAACGGATAAAGCTAAAAATTAAATTTTAATTGGCATTGCTATGTCACGGTCCATCACTGAGTTGTAGTCTAATGAGAGACAATATGATAATATACACGTTTTGCCATGAATAGATTCCGAAAAAACCCACGAACAAGAAGAAAAAGAAACAGATCACACAAGAACCGCCATCATTACCTGTGAGTCCCTGGCCCCAGGTTGTCTCATTGCTTTCCACTTGGAAGACGCATCATCCCGATACAAAGCATCGGTTCGACTGTCAGTCTCGGCCTCCTCCACACCATAGCAATGGTACTGATAATGTAAGGTACCTTTGGAGAAGAGAAGAAAGTAAAAAAAATTCAAGAGTAAGAATAATTCTACGCCCCTCTCAAATGACATTCAGTTGCGACTAGAAGCTACACTTTTTAATGAATCCACTAAATCTTTGGCTGTTTCATTTCAAATACATGTATGCAGTTGTTTGCATTTTGGGCTTCAAGGCTCAGCTCAGCCTAATGTTGTGTCCTTGGTAAAGGTACTTTACATGAATTTTCGTCACTTCACTAGTGGGAATGAGTAGCCCACTACAGCCAGTGTGTCCACCAAACTAGAAACCAGCCAGCAAAAAGTCATCTGTCATTTGTTTAAGTATCAATGAAAAATTTAATGTCACAGTCGTAACCAACGACTTAAAATTAGCAGTCTTCGCATAAATCAAAGGTGTAAACGCATATTACCAATTATACTCATTAAAAAAGAAAAATATTCCCACCTTGCATTACTTAACCTTTGACCTGTTCACACATGCCTAAAATGAATAGACTGAATTGGCTCCTTCCGACAAAAAAAATTAAAAAATCTGGCCATTTCTGCTTTGGTGGATCAGCAGCTAAAGACAGGGAAAAATCTTGTCAGCTTGTTTGTGTTTGAGAGCTTAATTGGTTGCTTGCACTGTACGATACTTCCCGGGCAGTTGAGAATTATTCCAGAGTGTTCTAGGGTCTTTTAGATATGGGCTATACTAATGAATTATTATTGTACAAAAAGACCTACTATAGGTTTTTTTCTCAAACAGGATGTTATCTACACAGATAGGGGCCAAAGATCTAGACCATGGATGCCAGTGTTTGGACAGCCCGATTCCTGAAAACCGACTCCCTGAATTCTTATATTCCTGCAAACTTATAACATGCCCCCCGCCTCCTAAAACCATCCCTTTAAAAAAAGAATGTTTAACAGAGACAAACAAATTAATTTGTTGTGCTTCTGAACTAATAAGGGAGGGGAGAAAAGGTCAATAAATACTTTTTTAACAAATCAGGGAATAAAATAAAAGACAAAAAAAAGGGGGGAATATAAGCTACTCACCACAAATTTCTTCAGGTGATGTGCAGTATAATGAGAGAGGTGGGATGTTGTAAGATAAGAATGCTTCACAGGAAGGATGAAATACACCAACTTCAACTATACATAATAAACACATGCCAAAGTGTCCTATCACTATTAAGTTCTCTGCGACGGTGAGATTCACATCGACACTATCACTTTTGTTGTGTAAACAAAACCACCGGAAGCCAGACCGGAAACAAGAAGTGGGAGTTCAGCTTCTGGTCACGTCAGTGCCAGATTGGCCTCGAGAGGCCAAAATGATAAAAAGAAGGCCAAAAATAATTTTTGCGGCACAAAAATAGCAATCAATCAATGCCTGCGAGATTCCAGCAAAGCTTGTTCGGACCATCAAAAATTCCGGGTTTGCCAGCAAAATCTGGTGATCTGGCATCCAAGATCAAGACAATAGTTTCATTCTACACCAGAAGAATCTTTAAAAATAATAGATAGCACAGAAGATCAGTGGTGGGAATGGCTATAGTTAGACCAGAAAGTTTTTGGAGATAAATGAAGATTTGAAATTATAAATGTCATGCTGGAACAGATTATGATAACAGACGTCAAGAAATGGAGGCTACATGGCCAAAGAATGAGAGAATGAAAGATACATGGACAGGAGAAAAAATCACACAAAAATCTGCAGGTAAAATACCCCCCCCCCCAAAAAAAACAACAACCCCAAAACAACCAAAAACCCCAAAAAACAAACAACAAAACAAAACTCACGGTGTCCGCTATCACCGATAGACAAGGTGGTCCCGGCCAAGTTCCCAACGAGAAAGTCATCGTCGTCACACTCAAAGTCATCTTCATCCAACAAGTCCGCTGCCACGCAGGTCGTGTTATGCCAGACCTGTGTGTGTGTGCGTGTGTCGGGGGGAGAGGAAAATTCAGAGTTACGGCTTTGCAGCTTTCTTAATCTCCTCTTTTAACCATCCTGACAAAAAGCTCAGAACAAGTAACTATTTCAACACAATGAGAGCTATTCGAGAGACATGAACTTTGACCTACTATTCATCTCAAAGAGGACAGAATGGAAAGTCTTAAAAACTTTTAGCAAAAAATGTAAGGGCTGAAACAGACTCAGACTTCTACTGTCCCCCGACGTTTCATACCAACAGAGACAACAACATATAAAATAGATAATTTCATATCAATTCTTCAAATAAAACTTTTTCAAGATATTTTGTGGGATAGTCAGTCTTATCAAGAGGAGAAGGCAGCGATATGTAAAAGAGTGACAAAACCAGCAAGCCCAAAGAGAACAACAAGCAGCAGCAACATACCCGATCAAGTAGATATTTTCTAAAAGTTTTAGTAAGAATTCAAGGCAACGCATTAAGGACATACAAATGCTGAAGATTAGAGGTGTTATAAGAGAGAAACAAACATAAAAAAAGAAGGAGGGATCAGGATGATAGATGTTTGATGGGAAAGAAGGAGCAAACCACATCAGAGCTTCCGCCAGAGCTTCCGCCAAGTAATTATCATATAAGTCATATATTGAACAACTGAATGGCAAAAAAGACTGGACTTTCTATGAAAGAAAAAGAGTCCTATTTGATGAACTGATAAGCAGAAGTGAAACATTTTTTTAATGAAAATTTCCATGGACAAACATACAGTCAAACCTGTGTAAGACGGCCACCCATTGTCAAGGAGAAAAGTGGCCGTATAAGACAGGTGGCCGTCTTAGGCAGGACTGATCAAGATGAAGAAAACAAACCATTCCCATCTGAGGTCCCAATCGAAAGTAGCCGCATTGTTGTTGTTTTTGTTGTTGTAGTTGGTTTGTATTTTGTTTGTAATTTTTACTTCGTTGCTGATTTTGCACAAGGGTGACAATAAAATGAAGTGTGTCAGACTAGGAAGACCGAGTGCCATGTTAAAACAAACACATGGGTCGCCACCACTCGGAGAACGAGCGACGCTTGTGTCACAAGTTCATGTTGATGTTCTTTGTTACTTTGTTACAGACTGGGAAAACCACTCATCTCACTTACGATTTGTGTATGAGTTCTGGGCGGGGGCTTACGGGTTTTGAGGGATCACACACTTACCTCACTAGCTGCTGAAAATAGGTAGCTATTGGTCAACAGAGGGGGGGGGGGGGGGGGGCTACGCAACACGATCGGTTGGAGGGACTACCTAACAACAACAACAGGTGATTGAATTATGACGGCTCGCCCACAACGCCAGGGGCCAATGCACAATTTATGACAAAACGTAATGGAGTCACTAAGGTGGCCATATAAGACAGGTGTTATTGCTTAGTGTGATAGGGGTTGTGTGTTAAAATATGGTGGCTGCGGCCATGTTGGACAGGTGCCCGTTTTACACTGTTAAATTATATAGAAAAAACACAAGGGGGAATAGGAAAGTGGCCGTTTGTACAGGTGGCCGTCAGGGCAGGTTTGACTGTACTTTGTTAACCCTATCCGTATACCCTGGGGTAATTTTGTACCCCCGCGGTTGTATTCTTCACTTTTTAGAATACTTCTAGGGTGAAGATCTTTCTCAAACTTTCAGTATTTCTATAAAAAAATCATTTTGACTGACTGCTATGCAAGGCGTATGGAACAGATTAACAAGTAAATTTCCCTTTGGAAAGTGGTGGCACAGGGTTCCCCACGTCGTATGGATACAATAGTAAAACACAACATACGGATAGGGTTAAAGAAAACTTTAGAACTTAAAAGCAAAATATTTCTACATGAGGAATAAAAACCTGGTCCCAAAAACTCACATCCATCTCATGTCTGGTAGGTCTTCCTGAGTGAGAATCAGTAAACAGATCTTCTGATCCTTGCTCATTGTCATGGCCCTCCTGTCCGGAGGAGAAGTCAAACACTCCCATCATGCACGTGGATGACGAGTCCGAGCAGCTCCCGCCATTTTTGTCTTCCATCAGTTGAGAGGAAAGCTCAGAAAACAGAGACTGTTCTGGTGGACACGAACTGTATGAGCCTGAGTCGAGAATGTGAGAGGACAGTTCAGAGAGTAACGACTTCTCGTTTGAATCGGGGCTTGTAATCATTCCACACTCCCCATCAGGCTCGGAGAATTCGTCTGTCGGAAGAGATAAACTGCGTTGGATGACGTCTTTCACCTGAAATGTAGGCCCAGATGATAGAGGCGGACCAACAACTAACACAGTGGCAGCTTCCTCACTGGCTATGAGGGCCTTGCACAGATTTTCTTCCTGAGAAATAGCCACAGATGACAGAGTTTGGTCCTTCTCTTTCTTTACTGCTGGCTGACAAACTTCACTGTTATTTTCTGAGTAAGAGCTGAGAATGACACGAGACTTTTCCGACACCATTTTCTGTGGCATTTGATGCTTTGTGATAGATTTAGAGTAAAGAGTTTGCTTGCAGCCACTGCTGGGTCCAGTCTTATCTCCTGCTCTGTTTACATCTTCATCATCACTATCTCCTCCGATATTCTGATGGTGCCGCTTGCGAGACCCTTCCGTCATGGACGATATGCTGCCGTCGCTAATATTTCTGCGATGGCGAAGAGGCAATGAGGATTCTGTGGCTATCGAAAGATGTGACAGCAAAGGAGGACTTTCATCATTCCCAAGCTCGGGGCAGGAATCATTGAACTCCGCCAGCAAAGACTTTTCATTCATTCTCTGGTCAACATTTGAATTTTCGGCAGATGGATCAGACGGGGGGGAAGTATTACTGCACTCTATATCCTCTGGTGATCCTTTGGTCTTTTGATGACCACCATGGAATGTGGCTGGTTCTGGGGGGAGATTCTGAGAGATTAGAGATGGAACATTCTGGCTGTTCCTCTGATTTTTGCTGAGATCATTATGGTTTGCTTGGGCAGCTGGTCTGTCAAAGCTTCTTACATTCCCATGACCTTGGGTGAAAGCAATGTTTGGATATGGTGAGTAGTGGTACTGAATTTGATTTCTTCGCCGCAATTGTTCTTGAAGTTCCGAATTTGATTCTTGAAGTTCTTCCACCTCATGGTTTTGCTTTAGAATCTGAAACATAAGAACAGATAACAGTAATTCTCCTTCATTGACTTACTTGAAAATTCAGAGCAAGACAAACAAGAAACAGAAAAAGACCATAAGAACAACCTTCTATTAAAATGAAATTTAAAAACTCCCCCACAGCAATTGACATTTTACATGAAAAAAACCCCAGCAATTAAATATGTTTAAAAAAACTGTTCCTTTAAGAAAGAAAAAATACAATAGAAGCCCACTCTTCAGCAATTTTTATATTATTTACTGTAACTCCCTCAAAAGTACCACCTCAAACAAAAGCTGAAAAACAATAACAGTCCGAGCCGGCTTTAAGCACGCCGGCATAAAGCACGTTTCGGACTCAAGCACGCTAAACGGCTGTTACCGAATTTTTGCTATATAAATTACACGCTTTTAAGCACGGTAACTCGGCTTCTGGCACGCTTCATTTACAAGACAGTCAATACTTTCATGATGACCCATCGTACTTCGAACAGTCTACATCAAGGCAGTGGAGTGACAGGGTTCCTGCTATGAACTTCCCACCAAATTCAAGGAGATTTCAAGGAAAATTTTTAAAATTCAAGGAGATTTGGTCAAGAAATTCATGACGAAAGCCTACATTTGTCCGAAAGGAACCATATCATAGTTTCAATTTTCTTACAAACACTGTTCCCAGGGTGACTGCCAACCTGGTTTCTCAATTTTCCAGGGGGTTGGGGGGGCTCATCCATTCTCCAGGGGCATGTTACATAACAACGACAGTGCATGCTTCATTATATATTATATATAATATATACACACACACACACGTGCGCACGCACGCATGTAGGTACATTATATCCAGTCAACAACATGATGTCAGTGTGGCACTGGGACACTGAGACTCAGGTATTTCAGTCTGTTCTTAACTTATTTATATTTTCCCCTCATCATATTCGCCTATATTTACTATATAAAAATGAATCTTGCTTTGAGCCTGAGAAAATGCCTACAACCAGAAAATACACTGTCAAGAACCAGTCTCTAACTCAAAATAGAGTAATAAAATGAATGGCTCAAGTAGACCTATTCAGTGTGAGAGGTGTAAGAACTGTGGGAGGGCAAGATGCAGTGACACTGAAAATCTGCGAATCTTGAACAGAAAGCTAAAATATAGAATATATATACAATACATATAATTTACTATCACCTACCCAATGAAACGGGAACCCTTTAGTTACAAACACACGGCTTACAAGGTTAGCACCAACGCGCCCTTTGCAGAGAGCTCTAGACAGTAGTAATCAAAATTCTGAAAAGTAAAATCTGCTTCCAAGTTTAGTTTTTGTCAACTGGTGTTGCCTTTAACTCCCCCCCCAACCCCCTGTTCGTCTTTAAAAAAAAATCAATAATCCCCCCTTCCGGAGTCCTATACTTCGCAGCGCTCAGACTTTGCATGAACTTTGGTGACCTCAACCATCGCCGATACTCACGATGTAACGAAAACGCACAGGTTCAATGACCGTGATGATGGCGAGCCCGACAAGAAGCTTATATAACTTTCTTTTTCTTTTCACAAGTGACAGCACAGGACAAACGATTTATTTTCATGGCGACACAGCGTTTGTAATGCAGAACAAATGTGGCACTATCAGACTACTAGATAGGCCCCACCGTCAAATTTCTGGGTGGTAACGAAAGCGAAAGTAGATCTTGATTTTCCCGATCAAGCTTCAGTATCGCACGTACACTTCCACCTGTTGCCGCCATAACCGCGCGTGCGCGTGTAACATACTCTCAGGCCGGGAAAGGCCGAATAAATATTATATCACAATCGCGACTGGCAAAAATGAACTCAAGGACATCATCGGATTTGGTTTTCAATATTCGAGAACGTTTATGTATTTTCCCGGGTCTTTCACGCGGCAATTTACCTATTTCTTCAAATTCCCGTTGCATTCTGGGTCTCGGCGATTTTTTTCAAATTCCTGGGTAATTCCAGGGAATCCCGAGGCCTGGCAGTTACCCAGTACACCTTTTCCGGTCCGGTCTGTCAAAATTCAAGGAGTTTTCAAGGAGATTTTTCCTTGAATGCAAATTCAAGGAGTTTTCAAGGAGATTTTTCCTTGAATGCAAATTCAAGCAAATTTCAAGGACTCCTTGAATTCAAGGAGGCTGCGGGAACCCTGGAGAGAGTTAAGAGAAACACGAAGAACGCAAGTGAGGAGACACACACACACATACACACACTGACGGAAAGGAAGGCAGAGAGATGCACACAGCCACACGAGCGGACATAGGATCTCGCCTAGGGCAAAGCTACACAAAGACAAAAAAAATTTTTTTTAAATTGAAAAAATACAAAGACAGTCGGGTAAATAAGAAAGGGAGGCTGGCTGCGATTTCACCTTTGACCCTCGCTATCCATTAATCCAGATTGTGTATTACGCGCGAGGTGGGATGAAAGCTCTGGTCGTCTAAATTAAGTTTTCATTTCCGATTCGACCACAACAAAAACAAACAAGCAAACAAAAACTACAAATGTACCATGGCGGGTAAAAATAACAGTGCACACTTTTGTGGGACCGCTATAGCCAAGGCCTACTAACAAACAAAGGGAAATAGCACAGGAAATTTTCTACCCGAAAATCTCTTGATTATGTCTACTTCGCACTCCAGCACGTTTCGGCATTAAGCACGCTTACGCTTTCTCCTGATGAACGTGCTTAAAGCCGGCATGGACTGTATAGACTATGTAAAAATATTAACACAACTGAGCAAAAATTGTAGTCATACTTTGAAGTATGCTTCCTGACACAACAACTTAACATAAACAACATTATAAAGGGAGAAAAATAAAATGGTCTGAGTCAAAAAGAAAGGCAGTAAATTTTACAAACTTTGGAAAATATAACCTTACATACAAACTCTATGACTGCGATTTATCAAACTGCGAATCTGACACTGCAGCCCCCCCCCCCCCCTCCATCCACACACATAGGATAAAAGACCCCCGAGGACTAACCTGCTCATCCCGTGAAGCCAACTCTAGTTCTAAAGCCTGTAACTTCTCATGCGCTGCCTCCAGAGCGTTTGTCAGTGAGTCTCGTTCTCCTTCCATGTCAATCATTTTTTGATTTGCCTCCCTCAGCTTTTCACTGAGATACTCCACCTTTGACGGACAAAAGAAAAAAAGGAAGCATCGTCCACCAATGAGCGACAAAAGCTAAATCAAGTCATCAACGTGGTCTTTGAAACATATAATACTTCTGTGATACAACAATACAATAGATTATAATAATCCCAACTTTAGTTCAACCCACTTTGCACTGCTGGAAATCTACAGGTAACAAGAAAAACCTTTAGACAAACCAACACTGTAATAAAGAAAAATAATATTAACTATGTGACTTCTTTTTACAAATCCATACTATAAATAAAGGGTTGGCAGTACTAGTTTCCATATTTAATACAACTTCCCACTACCTTCTTAAACTCCAAAAACAAACTGGCGTGAAAGAGACTAAACAAAATGTGACTATAAAACATCTTACAGTCTTTTCACCCGTAACTCTTTCTCTGCCCATTACCAATATATCAGCAGCGCGACAGCACCATTTTCGCCCATTACTGATACATCGGCACAGGCTATACCCAAACTTTATTTAGTTTGTAAATACTTGATCCATATTTTTTAGTTTTGATATAAACAAAATCTCAAAAGTAGAAACTTCCTGCAACGAAATATAGTGTCTATAACTACGGCAGTGGGTGGAAATTGAAATTGTTGAAGTATTTTGTGTGGTGTGTTTGTGAAAGCAAAACACGAAAGATGATCACACCCATTTCTAGTTCTAGTTATGTTTTCTTGGCCTGGTAGTAAACAACCCTCTAGGCATATAACTTGTCAAACAGACTAGGGAATTTTTCTTTAGTAAACTTGGGGACAAAGATAATATTGTCTTAGAATCCTTAGCTTTAGATTCTGATTCGGCAGATGATTGAATCGAGAGTGAAAAGCGTGAAAGACATAATTCGTAGGTCTAAATCTATAGTGAAAGCAAAGAGGATAGATGGAGATAGGGAAGTAAGTGAATATGCTTGGAAATGAAAAGGAAATTAGAAAGCCAAGAGAAGTGAAAATCAGAGGATAATGACCTAGATCTCTGTCTAAATCTAAACTTGGACAAGCAAGTGCAACTCAGGCAATTTCTGATTCATTACAACTTTTGGTATTGTCACAGTGATGTTACAAAATTGACCATAAAATCTCCTAGAATTGCACAATTCCATACCCTTTTGCATGAACATGCAGGGAATTGTAATTGAATGTAACATTCATTTTATGAATGTAGGAATCTTTTTTTGAAATACAAATTTTATTATTTATATTCAAAGTCGGAAATTTAGTCTGTCTTTTTATTAGCTCTAATGTGATGGACGTTCTCCAACAAGTATCAATTACGTCCTTTGCCTAATCAAATATTTTTAAAAGCATTTCAATGCTACGTTTTATTACCTTTCAAAATATGTATGACACTACCTACATTATTTCATTTCACTTATGAAAATCCTTCCCGAACATACACACCTATCATTCACGATTGGAGGCACAGAGAAAATCGGTGAGAGCTGGTATAAAAATGGGCAGAGAATGAGTTAAGTAGCTCAATTAAACTACACACGTTTATTCTTTGGAAAAATTAAAGGAACCTCACCTGCTCTCTCAACATAGCAATATGGTCAATCTGATCCTGTATTGTGGCCACACTTGTCTCATTCTGCTCTTTCTGCCTACTCAGTTCTTTCTGAAGCTCTTCCTCTTTGGCCGAGACCTGGCGCATCTGCTCCATCAGGTAATCCGTATTCTGTTGAGCTTCACGCAGTGACCTTGACCTTTCTCTTTCACTCGACTCAATCTGATCAGAGTTGCGAAGTTGTTTCCGCAATGAGGCCACGTCATCTTGCAAGTCTTTCACAGTGTTCTGGTGTTGGGTACCTGCCTTCTCAAGCTCCAGATGAAGGTCATACTTCTCTTGCTGTAAAATCTGTTAAAACGAGACCCACAAATTTTTTTTTTTAAATAAAAAAATAAAATTTACAACCACAAATACTGGAGATTAATTGAAGAGAGGTATGAATATACCAAAAGTGAACAGTTTGCTTTGATCAACTTTACATTAATCATTAGCTGACAGAAACAAGCGGCCGATACAAATTCCTCATCAAACTTTATTTCTTATTGTCAACTTTGAAATGACAACTACTGGGTAGTAGTACCTCTAACACACAATTAAAAGTTAACATAAAATCGAGAAAATGTCCACTAGGAAATTCCAGTCATTAGCATTACAATATTGCTAATCTATCTATGATGCATTGCCATTGTGTATTAGACCCGTTAAAGTTCTGAATCTGAAAAGCTCACCTCTATCTTTCGAGAGAAATCCTCAACCATCTGATCATAGCGAGTCTGCAGCTCTTGATTTGAGTCCAGCAGAGCCTTCCCCAATTCAGCAGCCAAGATCAGGTCACGTTCTTTGTGAGCCAGCTGAGCATAGACGTCGCTGGTTTCTTCTTCCAGACATTCCCCTTCGGACGTCTCATACCCAGCACTGCTGTCCTCCATAGAGCTGGGTTCCTTTACCTCCTTATTCACAGATTCAGCCATGGCTAGATAATTTGGATGTAGCCCTCTCAGTTTACATCATGATCCATATTCTTACGCATGATGCCTAAAGGGTGGTATGCAAAGACTGATAAAAACTGTAAGATACAACTTTCGCCAAACTCCTTACTTCACATGTTATCTTGACAGGACTTCAGTTTCTTGCGTCTCTTCCTGACAAAAGATAAAAGAAACAAGGTCATGTGGTAATATTCACAGAACACTTCAGAGCATACAAAATAACAATTATCCTGCATAAGCGTTGATACTGCGGCACAGCAAACTACATGACTGCATCCAAAGGCCGTTCGTTAACGGGGCAAGACCGGTGGAGCCCGTCACATTTTGTCGGCTGGACAGCGGACAAGAGATTTATTGCTGATCTAAAAGACTTCATTCAGTTTCAAGTAAATCCAATCTTAAGGTACTTTAAGGTACCCCCCAAAAAAGATAGGGGTTCACTTATTGCCCACAAGGACTCTTTCCTTCACCTCTGTTCTATCAACACTGGCTCGCAATTTTGCTATCCCCATCCACTGTCACGATAAGCAACTCTGCGTGTGAACACTGTGCTATAAGCCGGCGATTTCACAAAATTGCCCACAGGGGGCAAAGGAATCTTACGGTAGCCAATTTGGCTTTCCAGTTGCTCACAATTGAAGGATTAGACTGTCTTGAACAGTACATTCATTCAGTACATTACATTTCTTCAGTCATATTTATATCGTTAAACCTGTCTCTTGTTATTGTCACAGTAGTACATTTATTGTCAGCCTAGTTTTAATCTTTACTGCGTTTTAAAGTTTAAGGCACCCATGGCTCTGATAGGTGTTCTTTTTGACCGCTCATTTCTTAACAGGCCCAGACCCCAGATCCACTCTGCTGTTGTAAGGGAAAACGACAAATGGTCCAGCACAGGTAGCGAGGCAAATTTTTCATGAGGGGCAAAAAAACATATTCACTTTATACTCATTTATGTTTCATTCTTTTAAGCTATAATTCACCAGATAGGGGTTAAGGTGTCCATAAAGTTGTTTAAAATTTGAATCACTTAGGTTGCACAAGCAGTTATTCGACATTCGTCATTCTCCCTTACACAGCACGGCCCACAGCGTCATTTTTCACCCGATTCTGTTAGTTTTAGATAGCGTGACTCAGCAGCCCACTGGAGCTCCCCGGCTCATGGCCATGGGGTTAATGAGCCCTGAAACGACTTTGTTGGTGTCAATTAAGAAATTTGTAGTTTTGTCTACGTTTGAAATGACATAACTTCTTCCCCATCCCACACAGTAAACCATTACCTGATGTACTGTCTTAAGATTTATTCTGCGTAAGAATGGTTGATTTCTGTGCCTTAGTTTTTGTTCTAGACAAGGGTTTGTAGAGTACCCAATTTGTCAAATTTAAGTTACATACTTGACTTACGAATAAATGACTGTTTGTTTAAAAACGGCTTGACAGATCTCTCCAAAATTTGCATTAAAACAGACTATGAATATCATGTCTTTCACCAAGAGATATCTTAAATCTGTGCATGTAGCAATAGTCAAGCCATAAGAGAAGAAAGATGTACATCTGCATTTTTTGACAAAAGAACAATTTGAGAGCGAAACATTTGGAAATTGACCAATATTATCCCCATTCGAACCCCAGATCATTTGTAACAACAAGAGTGTCTAAAAAGATTATTCGAAATTGAATGGCTCAACTACTCATAATGTCTAATCAGCGTAGGAGAGTCTGTAGTACAGTCAGATACCAGTGTAGTAGAGTGGGTCAGATAGCTAGATCTATAATATCATAGGTAGTGTCAATTGCCGCCACGTGACGTGGTGACAGTTGACGCCAGACAGTTGACGCCAGCGTCAATCGCCGAGTAAATTGGAGCTCTTTTGCATTGGTGAGTAGATCTAGCCTATGTCATGTATGCTCCATGCTGCGTTCGCGAACTTCCGCTTACGAATGCCTCTCTGTCCCCCTCTTTCTCATTGTCACTGTGTGTGTGTGTGTGTGTCTCCCTAACCCCTGTCCCCGGGATTTATGTTCCCCGATATAATAAGCATATTTCTGTTAGAGTTTGAGAGCGTTTGTGGCCTATTTCTAGAATAGCCAGTGTTAGTTTTACACCGAAGCGTAGGCTAGCCTACGTCTCATTCAAAACACGCCAAGTCGAAGTTGGTAGCTCTAGATGTTGGTCCAATGAAATTAGAGAACAAATTGACCCACATAGATGTGAGGAGCTCGAAAGGAGAGAAACAAGACTTCCATTTTACTGTACACAAAATCTTTCATGAACTTGCATTTATGCAAAATGATTACCTGATAAAAATAAGGGTAAATTTTTACTTTTAGGCACCCACACATAGATGCATTGATCTGAGGGCTAAACTGTCATAATTTTTGCTGTAGAACACACGTATGGCCACTAAAACCCTTGCAAATCAATTGTTTTCAAGTAAATATCAATCCTAATTGCCAAAACATCAAACCATTGTGAAATGCAGGGAGGCATGCCCCCCTGAAAACCCCCAGATTCTTTTTAGGTCAAGGGCATATAATAATTGTTAAATTTACTATTTTCAAACATTGATTTGCGGCAAAAATGAAGACCATATCGCGTTTAGCATGTAAAATATTACTAGAAAAGAAGTACAGAAAACGTGAACATGAGACGGGTGCATAAGTAAAAAAAAAAAAAAAAGTTTATAGATAGTTTTGAATACCATTGTGTAGGTAAAAAGAAGAATTTGAGTACAAAACATTCAGAAATTGACCTATACTACTTCCCTTCGAACCCAGGAATGTGTGCAAAACTACTCGTTATGACTTTTATCAACTAGATCTAATGAGAGGGTTTAGATCATCTAACTTATAAATTTTGTCATGAGTTCGTAACACAAAATGAATAGAAAGCTAAAGATGAAGCGTTGTTTTCAGACCTGACACACCAGTGTCAATTGCCACTGCTGCGTTACCGTTACTCGGTGGCAATTGACGTCACCAATATTATATGGTGAAAACCACTTTATTTAGATGTACACTATCATTGTGTCCAAATGTTGATAACAAGCATTAAGAATCATGTTATTAAGCTTGCAAAGAAACAAATGTGATAAATAATTGAAAATGACCGAATGTCAAAATACTGCCCGAATCCATGAGAAAGCAAAAAAAATATCACAGAACATGAAAATAAATCTGGTGTCACTTTCTTCACACCCAGTCAGGCTCAGTGAGTCAGGGCCTCAAATATATAATATGCAAGCTGAAACAGTACATTCCTGTGGGCATCCAATCACAGGGCTTCCTGTAGCAAGTTTCGGTTTACCTCTCGGGCCAGGCAGATAAGAGATGGAGATATATTTAAAGCTTTAAAGTTGACATAGAGATCTAGATTCTAGATCTACCTATTTTCTGCCAAATTTTGACCGAATGAGACGGGAGGGTTTCTATAAATTTACCAAACATTTTTTTCGGACCCAAGTCCGAATAGATAAAACCCGTGCCGCACGAAATAGTATTAGCTGTAGTGTAATAGTAATAGGGTGGGTACGGGGTTCAGGGTGGGGGGCGCACCCTGAAATAATGTGCCGTGACACGTAACATCTAAACTAACCATTTGAGACGTTTTTCAATGACAAAATCGTGTTCAGGGCCCTAAAAGCCCATAAAAAGCTACAAAATAATACCCTACTATATGAGACGGGAGGGTTTCTATATAAACGAAGTGGCTAGGGAAGTACGGCGAGCCTGAGAGTCTACCTGTCGACTGAAACACAGGTCTCATTAGAAGATCTAGATCTAGTAATTATTCAGGTTTAAAATACATGCAAGTCTGAACTAAGTCAGTAAGTCAGTAAGGCACCTTTCGGTTTTGTCTGAAATACAAACATTTTAGGCAGTGCAAACTAAAAATTTCATTTACAATTCAGCCATCAATAATAAGTACGGCTAGCCTAGCCGTCTAGCCATACTCAAGTGAAAGCCAAGAAGTCTATACGGCTAGCCAGCCAGTCTAGCCGTACTTATCTTAGGCCCTATTAACATTAGAAAACAGGTCTCAGTAATTATTCAGGTTTAAAATGCATGCACTCACATTAAGGCACCTGGTTTCTCCTCAGGTAGAATCTACCGCAAACTAAAAATTTAGGCCAGCTCTATTTCTCCGAACGTTCGGGAAAATAAACTTGAACTCTATTTCTCCAAACGGTTTCCGTTCTCGAGATTCGTTGATAATAGACGAATGGACTGGCCCGTGTGAGTGTGAGTGTGTCTGTAAGGTGTGAACGGGTGGGGGGGGGGTGCCGAGGATTTTTTTTTTTAATGAAGGATTTTAGTTTTTGCTGGGTGACTAGATTTTTCTAACGAAGCGATAATTTCTCCGAACGTTCGGAGAAATAGTGCCGATCTTTATTTCTCTGAACGGATTCTGGCTTCCGGTCTCGTGATTTTTTGCCTATTTGCGAGAGTTCGGCGCCTACTTTCATCTTGCCATTCTGCGAGGTCTGGGAAGGAGCAAATTTTTGGGTCAAGATCTATGTCAATTTTCAAAAACGTGAAAAAGAAAGGTTTCACAACAGAAAGAAATCAAAATTAGAACAGCCCATAAACAACCACAAAAATTAACAAATAGGGCGTGTGACCACCTGTCCGAAGAAGATTGGCTGTTTTAACCCTAAATCTGCGTAATTAAAAAAATAGTACAGAGGATATTACGTGTAAATTATGGAATCACACACAAGGGGCCTGCCAGTGTCAGTACATGTAATCGGTTTTTGTGGAACGCTCTAATATAACTTATTTAAATCTATATATTTTTAAAGAATCTAATGAAGGTAGGAACATCAAATTAAAAGACATTATCACTTTACAACATCCCCCCCTTTCCCCAACAAAAAAAAACAATTATAGAAAAACAACACATCAGAACAATTATAGCAAGAGAAAAAAATTACACACCAACAAACTAAAACACAACAAAGAGGGAAAAATAAAAGAGGAACAGCAATACGAATCGTATATAACTATGTAACATTTACAACAAATCAACGTGGTGACAACAAGTGAGAAACAGACGAAGTGAAGCTAAGTGAACTTTCTTTCAAAAGTAAAGAGGTGCGGTTTCTTTTTTTTTTTTTGACTTTTATTCCCCGATTCGGGGACCAAAAATTTCCAAAAAATTGAGCCACAATTGATTGGTCGCGAAACAAAGAGATGCTAGCTCTATGTGTCGTTATCAAAAACCTTCCATAGATCTAGATCAAGACAGCACACGAGTGAACACAACACATTAAGTTTTTAGAGAGAAGCACCCTTCATAGGCAACATGTCATATAGATCTATATGTTGCGAAAAACTGTTTGGAACTGTAGCATTTCTATAAATATTTACTGAGGACATCTTTTGGACCGATTGAACCTTATATTGTGTACCAACAATCTTTGGTAGGCCTATAATATAATTAAAGATATAGATCTATATCCGAAATTTGCGGGAAAGGATGTGATTTCAGTGTTCGGAGAAATAGATAGTAGTGCCCAGCTTTATTTTCCCGAACGTTCAGAGAAATAGTGCCGGCCCTTTTCTAATTTATGCAAAATAGGTTATTGCCAAGGTCGAGCAGTCTTGTTTTCTCGCAGTACCTTTTGATGGTATTTTCAAATGCAGTATAGTCCGGGAACGTTGCCCCAACCACAACTGAAGTATCTAAATATATTCAGACATTTAAAAATCTCTACAGCTCTAGAAATTGAATTTGATGCAAAAAGTGCTTCTCAGTCCTCGCAGAATGGCAGAATGAAAGGATGACGCCTAAATCTTGTATAAAATAATATTAATTAAGATCATTTTTATCGAGGCCCATTTTTATAGCACCCACCCCCATGTAAACACAGCTCTAGGCGCTTTACATTAACGAAGTGTATACAGACCCGGTAGGGGAACTCTTTTGTGATGTCGGAAAGTTTCAGCGCCCAGACCCCGTAGTAGTGTGTGTGTGTGTGTGTGTGAGTGAGTGAGATAGAGAGGGTGACTGCTCGATTGAAATTATGACATTGCTCTTTTCTTCAAACTGTGATTCCTCCCAACTCCAAAAACGGAGAAAAAACAATCGTTCATCGAAAAGACATCCACAATCTTCATTTAGATCTAGATCTAGGCTAACCTTGAAACTAGAGCAATGATTTAAGTCTGTCTGTCTAGATCTAGACCATAGATCTAGAAGTAGAAGAACCTAGATCTAGAATCTGGGTCTACACTGAGCCAAGAGGGTAGAGGGCGCTGAAACTTTCCAAAATCACAAAAGAGTTCCCCTACCAGATCTGTATACACTCCCTTACATTAATGCATACACGAACAATATTCATACACGGGACACACAAACACACACACACTCATACACACTGACACACACTAGCACACACATTACACGCACACACATGTACGCCAAACACAAACATCTACTTGCTTATATGCGCACGCTTACACATCGTTAAGAAATGAGCACATATAGATAACCCCAAAAATCTCTAGATCGGAAACCCTTCGGAGAAATAGAGTTCAACTTTAAAGTCTTTATTTTCCCGAACGTTCGGAGAAATAGTCACTTTGAAAAATTCATATATGTGCAATTCAGTAGGCCTATTTTTTTGGGGGGAGTGTATACAGACCCGGTAACCGGGAACAAAGTCACAAAGTATACAGACCCGGTAGGGGAACTCTTTTGTGATTTTGGAAAGTTCCAGCGCCCTCTTGGCTCAGGGTAAAACTAGGTTCTTCTAGATCTATGGCCTAGGTCTAGATCTAGACCGACAGATATAAATCATTGATCTAGTTTCGAGGCTAGCCTATATCTAGATCTAGAATCTAGAGACCTAGAATCTAGATCTAGATCTAAATCTAAATGAAGATTGCGGATGTCTTTTCGATGAACGATCGTTTTTCCCCCCTTTTGGAGTTGGAGGAAGGCCACCTCTATTCTCACCCGGGATGAGAATAGTGCAGGCGAGTCTTTTGGCTATTCTTACCCGGTGCGCGTTCACCGTTATAGCCTAGATCTAGGCCAACAAATTTTGCGTTCACCCTAAACCACAGAATTCTACACTGTGATAACAGAAAAATTGTAGAATTCTGTTGCGTGAACAAACGTTCCATTACAACTGTAGCCTACTAAAAGCGTACAATTTTGTCTGTGGGCAGTGGAGAGAGAGAAAGAGAGAGAGAGAGGAGTAGCGCAAGAACTTCCGGTCAAAACAAAATGGCGACCTGCGTAGTTCGGCTCGATGCGAAAAGTTAAATAGCTGTAGCATCTTTGTAGACAACCAAATTAATTTACTTTTGTGTTTTAACATCATTTTTTAACTTTGTTTTGGTCAATTTGATCGTCCACACCGATAGACAGTATTCAGAAAGAGACAGAGAGAGAGAGAGAGAGAGAGAGAGGGGAGGAGTAGATCTTGCGAGAACTTCCGGGCAAAACAAGATGGCGACCCGCATAGTTCGGCTCGATTCGAACAGTGAAATAGCCATAGCATCTTTGAAGACGATCAAATTAGTTTAATTAGCTTACTTTTGTGCTATAACGTAATTTTTTCTTGGCTTTCATCAATTTGATCATCCACACCGATAGATAGTATTCTAAAATGAGGAAAAGGAGGTCTTGTTTCGCACCGGGTGAGAATAGCCTACGGAGGCAAGTCTCACCCGGGGTGAGACTGGTAGATCGTTTTTCTATTCTCACCCCGGATGAGAATAGTAGCCACTTCCTTGGAGGAATCACAATTTGAAGAAAAGAACTGTCATAATTTAAATCGAGCAGTCACCACCCCCCCTCTCTCTCTCTCTCCTCTGTCTCTGTGTATCGCTCACATTCTCTTTTTCTTTGTTTGTCTCTGTCTTTCTTTCTCCCCTCGTAATTCCCACTCTATCTTTCTCTCGTTCCCTCCTGCCAACTGTGTCAAACATTTTGCTAGCACTTCCCTCTGCTCTCTCCTTCACTCACTCACTCACACACACACACTACCGGGTCTGGGCGCTGAAACTTTCCGAAATCAGGGGTCTAGATCTATACTTCGTGACTTTGTTCCCGGTTACCGGGTCTGTATACACTTCGGTTTTTTTTTCAGTTTACTGATTACAATTCTGTAGGCCTATTATTTTCTTTTATGTTGGTCAGTCTAGATTTCTAGATCTAGACTCTATAATCTAGATCTAGAATCTAGCCATCATGTTAAAAATATGTATGGTAGGCCTACGGCACGGCACAGCTAGATCTAGCCCTGCCCTGCTGTCTACTGTCTACGGAAGTACGGCTAGCCTACTAGACTAGATCTAGAAATAGTAGTCTAGTCGTCATTAAGTACGGCTAGCCTCTTCCTTCTAGATCTAGATCTAGATCTATAAATTCACCCTTGCACTAGATATTAGATCTAGAATCTAGATCTAGAGTACAGTAGTAGATCTAGTAGGTAGACTAGATTCCTAGAAATCTAGATTCTAGATTCTCTTCTAGATTTCTAGATCTAGACTCTATATTCTAGATTTCTAGATCTAGAATCTAGAAGAGACCAACAAATCTTATCTTACAATCTCTTTAAACTTCGTTTCCTTACTTATGATAATCCATTCTCTTTCACACAAAATATTCCTTGGTTAGTTGTTTCAAGCAACAAACAGGAGATATAATGCGACCGTTGCGACTCAACTTTAGACTTTGAAGACTTGGACACGCGTTAGTCACAATCTGTCGCAACTTGGATTGACTGAGTGAGACATAAACAGGAAGTGGATTAATGAACATAAAGCGGAAATGTACCAGAGTTGTTTATCCTTGGAACACTCTTTTGCTATATTGTAAATAAAAGGCATTTTCTTTTCTATATACCAGATTGCACTTTAAAAAAAACAATTTTTACAATGAAATATTATTCTGTCGGTGTGTTGTGAGTTTTATTAAGCCAATTTATGTTTGGAAGTGCACTTTCAATCAAATAGCTAATGAAATTGAAGGTTTTTATTCTCAGATTCCTATTTTCAAAAAGAAGAACATTCTTACTTCATACACTAGAATAATCTGGTACTCGAAACGCAAACATGGCAGGCGAGGTTGTTGTTGATGCGTTGCCTTACTTCGATCAGGGATATGACGACCCTGGAGTTAAAGAAGCTGCCATTGCCCTCGTTGAGGAAGAAACCAGAAGATACCGCCCTACTAAAAATTATCTTGATTATCTGCCCAACGCCAGTTACCATACTTTTGAAACAGAAATAATGAAAGGCGAAATGGAGAGGGTTCAGGTAAATTACTACTACTACTAAGACTAATGACTACTAAAGTCAAAGTCTTAAAGTCTTTACTACCAAGACCAAGTACAGTCGAACCTGTGTAAGACGGAGTCTCAAGGGAGCAGGGAAAAAAATCCGTCTTAGACAGGGGAATTTGGTTGGGAGGGGGGGGGGGTTCAAAGGCCCAGCCGGTGGGATTAAGGATAGCTTGTGTCTGATCGGCAAGCAGTAACTTACTGAGTAAGCAGTGGTCAAAACTTCACACCTCCCAGCTGCTATCTTGTCTGGCATCAATCTTGCGTATCCAATTACCACCAGTGCTAGCCTTTCATAGGACCACTGTTTGACCTATTAACTATTAAAAACAGAAACGTTTGATCATCTCCTTTGCTTCCACCCTTAGCCCCACCCACCAATGCCACCCCTCACGGCCATCATGTAACAACGATTTGAGGAATTCTGTTCTCGGCTGGCCGCACGATCAGGGCTGAAGGCATAGGTCAATCTAATTTCACACCTCTGGCTTCTGGCTACCCAGAAAAGTTTCCGTAGTGGCTCGCTACTCGAGCACTCTTACAGGCAGTCGTGAGATTTCACACCCACACTACATGACCATCTGCATCCCTCAGGGCTCACATGATGGGGTAACATCTACCTCTCCAAATTGCTCCCCTACTCCCCTTCCTCACCCAGCGGCATGGCCATGGCCTTATTGCCTTAAGTAGCAATGCCAATCGCCCGCTGCGCCTTGGGCCGGAAATCGGCCTCCGCGCGAGGGGTATTTTTTGGGCCGCTCGGAATCAGAAGTGACTCTCTTCTAAGTTTAGTTACGGGAAAACTCCTTCACGAAAATAAATGAAACTCGGCAACCAACCAGAGGAAAGGTTAAACTAACGACATGCCAGCGTACAATCCCGAACGATTACTACTAGAACCGGAGATATTGCCGTGTTTGTGCGAATTTCCTCTGCGGTTCAAAAACTAAGCGGAGCTGCGGGGTGATCGCCGACCACACAAGCGCCCCGCATGTCTTCTTTATTGCTGTAAAATTTCAGATCTCTGCGTTGAGTAGATTTTCCGTACCAACTTAAAATTACCACCCATCCATTGATAAAACCCAAGATCTAGAAACTTGATCGCGCATTCCAAACGCGAGGTGCCGGCACGCAAGAGGCGCATGATCGCTAGGCGGCATGTGATTGGCTGCCTATAACCAAATGGGTCACCGATGACTACATCGCGGGTTTTCCCGATAGCGCTTTACTGAGTTTTAGAAGGGGTGACCACTAGGCGAAGAATGGGAGCAGGTGGCCGGAGAATACAGGGACTTCACCAAGGTCAAAATAAGCATGGGCAGAGACAGAAGAAATGTTGCGGCTGCCATCAACGAGAGCGATATCAAAGAGATTGTTGACACAAACTCAAAAGCAGGGGATCCTATAATTTATACAGATGGTTCAGTGAAAAGAGATAGCCAGAGAAGTGGATGGGGATTTGTTGCATTCGCCAACAATAAAATCATACACAGTGCATCTGGAGCCTGCAGCAGGGCTACATCAAGTATGCGAATGGAAATTGAAGCCATCACGAAAGCACCTGATTGGATGACCCAAGATCGCCCCCACACAACCCATGCTGTTCTTATCACTGATTCCATGTGTACCCTCAGAAGGATCGAAAAAGGTTTCCTGAGAACGGAATGGATTCAAGCTATCGAACCAACGCCTATACGATCGCTCACATGGATTTTCTGCCCTGGCCATGCAGGTGTTAGGGGAAATGAAAAAGCCGACAGATTGGCTGGTGAGGCCACCTTAGTTGACAATACGGTTCAACCAGATAGGGTCGAGATCCTGAAATGTCTTTCTCGACAACTGATTGAGGAGGAAGATAGGGAGGCAGAGGCCAGTGCTGCCGTGGAGAGGATGATGCTTTTGGGAATAAAAAAAGGAAGCGGAAAATCTGGCATCCTTGCAGGAAAGAACAGAAGAACGTTCAACCAGATGTGCACTGGCACAATCAGTAGAAGGACCCTCGGCAACATTTTGGAGAGAGCAACGGAGCATCAATGTACATGTCCGGAGTGCAGGGATGTTGCTTCCTGAAACAAGAACAAGAAGGGGTGATCGCGTCGCGGTAAAAACTATGTCACGCAATTCAACAAATTTCACGCAAATATCAGTCTTTAAGATCCAAAATAATGAAGACATCGAAGAAGTGATAGCAGAACTAGATTCGGCACTAAAAATCACATGGAGATGCCAAGTTTCATTCATATGCTCCAATTCATTACTGACTTATGAGCAGTTTTTCCTCAAAATACATCAAAACATGTCCCACATTTTGGCGATTTTTTCCTATACGAAGGTCCTCCAACATTTTGCAAACAAAAATCCCAATAACTTTGATATTTATCAATGGATTTTTAAAATTTAAAAACCATAGTTCTTAGAATTTACTCTATTTTCATTTAAGCCCATTTTTAAGCAATTTGGATGAAAATTTTATTTTTCATTGTCATTGCTACCTTAAGTTTAGAGCCGACAGAACCAAACTTGCAAGTTTTGTTTCAAATCGGGGCCGAACGGGTAAAGCATTTTCCGTCTTAGACAGGTGAAACCCTCGGAAGATAGCGGATTTTTCTTTCCATTTCCTCGTTGGACAGGTTTCCGTTTAATACAGGTAATATGAGCAATTGCCAAAACATGAGACCACTCTGTTGAGACTCAGTGGTGCAAAATTTTTAAAAATAACAATTTGACTCCCTTTTCTGTCAGTCACAGATTGACATTTAGAGCTCATATTCCTAGAGTATCAGAGCAAGGAGATGTAGGGTTTTGGAGATATGGGTCTATTGGTTTGGCTACCACTGTATTTCTTGTATGTAACAGTGATGACAAAAACAGATGCAGCTAGGCAAATTATGGACTTTAAATTCCATTTGTTTAGTAAACAAAGAATTTGTACACTATGAACTCCGTTCATAATGGTAATATAAATGACAAGCTTTGTAACAATGACGCAGTTCTCACAACATGTCATCATTGGTACAAGAAAGGGCACACATTGGACATTATCATTGACAACACATCACAATAGTGAAAGGCTGTACAAATTAGCAATGCCAATGAAAATTTAAATTTTCACTTTTGCCCCCTTTTTTTTGGTACCTAAGAAAGAATTTTCAATTCTAAGAATTATGCTTCTTGAATTTTGAGAATCGGTTCATAAATTAAAAAGTTATGGGGTTGTAAAGGTCGGCTAAATATGGATGACCCACATATAGGAAAATACTCCTAAAAAGTGGACCACGCAGTAGCAGATTCTGTAAGAAAATCGACGATATCTCGGTAACTAATCGGAGTGTTCGAGAGAAACTTGGCTACCCGATGTGTTTTTGAGTGTAGAAATCATTTCTGCAGTCAGATTTACTACCAATTTCGTAGTTATTTTGTTATAATTAAAATTGTGGTGTACATATTACGATTTTGCGAAAAAGGGGTGTCGGGATGAGTCCGTTTTATTTATAGCATCGTATCACAACATGGGATCTTTAAGAATATATGTCGGCAGCGTGACTAAATAATTGCAAATTTTTTATGATGACTTTAGACCATGCCAACCGTAAAAGATAAGTTAATTCTATCTAGCATGCCGTACAATGAAAAATTCTTTTTCCCCGTTGAGACGCGAACACCCCGAGACGAGATAACCTCGCCTCGGAATACCCCCATAGCGATGTTACAGGGGAATAGAGAGAAAAACAACCGGATGCGCGCGCCCGCCATTGCCCTATTTCAAGGGACCAATGAACGGGCCCGGAATAGTCATGCGGGGATTTGTAGGTCACATACATTTGCCACGAGAGTGAGGGGAAAATGGCCGGTCTCCGTGCGAAGCCGCTTTGGATAGGGGGGTAGTCGTGCATTTATGATCGGGTGTAAACAACTACTTGACACAGAATGTTCAAATTTGAGCACACTATAGAGGGTAGATAGATCTATTACCATCTCGGCGTTGAAATTCAAACTCCTTATAGTTTTCGGTGTACACGATACGAAAGTGTTCCCGACACCAAAAGTATATAGGTTAATTTATGTGTACGAACTTCAACGTCCACATATCATTAGTTTGCCCTATTTTCTGATTGGTTGCCGATTTTCATTCGGATTGGTTCGGAAATAGAGCAAACCGAGGTTGACAAAGTTAGTCACCTACGCTTCGGCCGGGTCCTCAAAATCGCCCGTAAACGGGGACCAAATTTTCGCCTCGCGGGAAAGTCCGATTGGCATTGCTATACAAATACAGTTATCAAAGCCTCAGTACCAGAAAAACACATGTGTAAAACAATTTTTAAACTAATATGGGGCAAAAGCACAAAATCAATGGAGCTGACTTGTACATAGCAGTGATGACAAAGACTTGTACATAACAATGATGACACAACGTACAGGAAAAGACAAAGCCATGCCTCCAGAGAGAAATGCGCACTCTAAGAAAAACAAACAAACCAGGAGAGGTTTCTTTTGCTTTAAAACAGATATCAGGTCATATCAAAGACATTGGACGATCACAATTATGTTGCTAATTATGACAAACAGTACTCCTACATAACAGTGATGACAAAACATACTGGGAAAAGGTAAAATCATGTCTACAAAAAACAAATTTGCACTGAGATACACAGGTCAATAAAGGTGTATTTTGCTTCTAAATAAATCTTGCATGTATGAAATATATGATGTTGAAAACTTTGATATTAGCAATGATGACAAATATTACTTGTACATTTAACAATGATGACAGAATGACACAATGTACTGGAAAAAGGCATAGATCATGCCAACAAAGAACAAATGTGTACTTTTAAGTTAGACAGATAAACAAGGACACGTTTGTTTAAATTTGTTTGAGTAAAAAGAGCAAACATGATTTTAAAAATGTTTGCTTAGGAAAATGTAATTTCTAGTACGTCAGTCAGTCTTGTACGGCTGCATGACGACACCCCAAAC